AAAATTTTACCGATATTAAAATTTCATTTTTTTTTTTTTTTGTTGCCAGAAAAGTGGTTTAATTATTTTTCAATAAAACGTTTATGATTTTTACATTGAGTAGTTATAAATAATTGCTGTCGAATAAACTATCTGGCACTAAAATTTCAATTATTATGACATGATATAATATAAATTACATTGTAATAGTCAATAACGGCGAAAACAATACAATTTTGCCGCATTCATTTCGAGTTCATCGTAAGCAATTTGCTATGGTGTCGCTGAAACGCCGATGTCGACCGCAATATTATGTTAAACGTTTGCGTGTTCAACGAATCCCGTTAAGTCGAGCGTTAGAGCCGCGGAATGACTTGCGCCCGGTCGGGCGGTCCAATGAGCTGATCGACGAGAATAATACTAATTAATAACGTTCGGCGTAAAATTTGAGTAAAGTTTTTATTGAAAACCGTTCGTATGCGCACTGGAAAACGTACTGATACGAATTAACGCACAACGATAACATTAAATGTTATACACACGTTTTATGTTGATGATAAATGTCAATGTGCAGCATAGTCGGCCGCGGTTCTGTATGATGTGTTTCATTTTGCTTCTTTTTTTTTTTTACATCCGAGCAGATCACCTTTGAAATTTTTCTTCACCATCCCTTACGCGCTTTTTGTGTGGCTCTATAGTTGAACATCGAATCGCGTTGGTGAAAAAGGATCGGAGGTAAAGGGCGTGTGTTCTGCACGGGAAACCGCACAAGTCTAGAGTTTTGTTTTCCCACCACACTTCCATTCCGTTTTGCCCGAAATAGTGATTTATCGAAAGCGAAAATCTATAAACGCTTGGACGCTCATGCACCGCTTATTATCTTGCGTTACACGTTTCAATACCTCGCGCGCAGTCTGGAAATATTATTTAACCTTTAAACTTTAAAAAACTCGAAATCCATTCAATCGAAACAAAAATAATATTTGTACGGTGAGTTATATTTATTGTTTTTTTATTAGCCTTTGTATGTTCTTTTTCGTACATTATATATACATACATGGATATATTTTATTTTTTTATGAAGTATAAACGATCGTTTATATTAATAAATTAATCTGAAACTTTTCGAATCGAAACCGAATTTATCCTGTGAATCGACATTTTAGTACTCACAATCATAAACAGCTATTGGACATTTTTTTATTATTTATAGGAAATCTATTATTCGTTCGATTCGTAGGCATTTAAAACTACAAGTCTGATTGACCATGTAACTACTGAACTGATTTTATTTATTTATTTTTGGGTTATGCCGATGCCATATGCTAATATAATATATACTGAACCGATTGATTTGACTAGTTTTTGTGCAATCGTGTTGTTAAAAATGTTCTTAATACATTACTGATAGGTTAAGCAGTAAAATTTTTCAAAACGTAACATATTAATGGACCAGTGTTTATATTGCATTTTTCAAAATCATTCCCGCGGTAAAAGTTGAACGAGGTTCACGTTTTTCTATTTTTTTTTTTCAATATCCAAAATAATTTTTATTCGCTATATTACTCAATTCATTTAATAATTTTGGGTATTTAGATTTATAAAGATGACCGAAATGGAATTACGGTAAATCAAACAACTTTAATGTTTCTTGTGGAAGACAATGTTTGCAAACATTAAAAGTTTATAATTGTTGTTCCGGAATTTAAAGATGGTTTTTTTATTTATCTTCCACTTAATCACGCGATACGTAAATCAGAATTAATAGTTTTCGCAAGTTCTCCGTATGTTTGAAAATGTCTGAGAACTGCATGGAAGTGTTTTCGTAGCATTTTGCTTGAAGTACCATAATTTTCTATCCTCTATGGTATCAATCACTTTTTGAAATTGTCTACTTAAAGGGAACGTTCGTTTTGACACGATTACGTATTCAATCATGTTTTCCAATACTTAACGGTTCACAGATATTATAACTAGTGTTTGAAAATTTCATGAAATATAAGATTGTGAAATATTTCAGTATTTTAAAAATAATTGTTTTTCTTTTATATATGTTTAATTTTTATGTATATTTCACATTTTTTAGGCAGAACAAATTAATAAGATCCATTAGTGATTATTTCCTTTGGTATTATACGTTTATAGTATTTACAATTTTTATGGAACAAAAATGTAATAAGAATATAGTTTAGTTAATAAGGACATACATTCGGACTATAGACTTCATAAAGACATCTTTAATGATTTTAGGGCATTCACAACAATCTAAAATGTGGTTTAGTTGATAAGTTGCATTTTTTACTGTTATCCAATTGCAATAATTACACGACTTTTTAATTATGGTTTTATTACGTTTTTTTTACTAGGGTATATTTTCTAAACATTATGTATTTTTGAACTATGTTTACCCGTGTTCAATGTTATCTAAACTTATTCGATACACGTATAAACGTTTGATCAGAAATGAGTACAGAATAATAATAATAATATTATATTAAATTTGTAAATATTAACGAATTGTTACATAATATAATAGTAATAATCGTATGAAAATAACTCGTATACAATTTTCTTGATATAAACTTTATAAAGATTACGATAGTAAAGTAAATTGACCGTCAATAACGGTTATATGTAATAAGTATACTTACCCATTTATACACTTATATTATAAATTTATAAATATCCTTATATTTAGTCACGGACCAAGGCCTAAAACGGGCATCGTTATCGTCGATGATAAACTGAATAGTGGGAAATTAAACCAAGTTCCGTTATAAACGTTATAATAGCCCTATGGAGCATTATATTTTTAAAGAAATAAATACACAACAACAATAATTAAAAATAAATTCAATTTTTCACGTTTTTGTGAAATATTTCACCGTGTATTGAAATATTTCAATATGAATTATTGCAAATGAAATATTTCACATGAAATATTTCAAACTTCAAACACTAATTATAACGATGACACTTGTGTAATGTTGGAAAAGGTACACATAAGACCGTAGTGTATTGCACCGTTACGAAAAATAAAACCATTTAAATAATTAAATATAATCAAATAGGTGCATGAAAAGTTGTACGAATGTGGAAAGAGAGTAACAAAAAAGCGAATCAGAATATTTCCGATAATCGAGACGAGTCCATCTGTCGACGATTATAATTATTAAACAAAAGAGAAAGCGGTCGGTGAGCTTACTGTCAATACGATCACCGACAAGGGTGTCATCAATCAGTACAAACATTGGTTTGGAAATTTAGCGAATCCGTCGTCCGTTTGTTCATGAAATCGACACTGCGAGTCTTATAGTCATAAGACTTTAGGTGACTGTGATTTTATGGAACGTTTTCAAACGCAAAACGAATATTGACTTATTCATGGTTTTGTTGCACCCACCGGAAGTACGTCGCGATCAGTAGTCAACGACGGTGCTGCGAATAAGGGGCACGGCGTGTGCAAGTGCGTACATTTCGCGTTCGTTTCGAACAGGAGAAAATTAATTTCACCAAAGCCAATTCCGTCCTGCTAACAAAGAATTCAACCGTGTCCGGTAACTTAAAAAAAATATAACAAACAATCATGTGCGGAGGAGTACGTCTCCGTGTAAAAATGGTTCGCACCGGTACCTAAAGTGCATAATGTATTGTGATAAATATGTACGAAAGTATAATTGTTTTCCCGTGAAATGGAATTATGCGCTGAAAAGTGAAATACAATATGCTATTGGAATCTCATGTTCTGCGGTATTTTTGATCACAACTACGTAAAACAAAAGAACAGTAAAATTATTATTTAGCTTTTTGGTCCAAATTTTGAACGATTTGAGCATTATTCAGTCTTATTGTTGGAACATAATATGATGTTTTTTCTATTAGAATGATTATTGCATATTGAAAAAATGGGTTTGAGCGGAATTTACGGAATAAAATTTTTATTTTTTTAGTGAATTTCGTATGCGTGTCATCTATACGACACAAATTGTCTAAACCGCGTCAAACTGGAAGGTTTGATTATTTTAATTAACATGACTGAGTTGATTTTCAAATGCTCGGTATATTTTCAATTAATAATAGACTGTAAAAAGTATATTTAAAATATTTGATGGTACGAAATATAAACAATTTAATATATTTCAAAATCATGACCGGTTTAAAAAACTTAATCAACATTTCTTTAATTAACAGACTTTATTTATAATATAAAGACATATAATAATAAATAACCGTAAAAATCGTCAGATAATTTTATTAATAGAGTACTTCGTAAAAGGTATACTGTAGTATACCCACTAATATATTTCTTAAAGTCACGAGATTTTTCGGAATTTTTTAAACGAATTTCTGTTGGACGAACGTAAATTAATATTCCAAAGTCTTTCAACCCGAAATGTAATTAGCTATCGCTTTTGATGTTTCAAGTAAGTTAGCTCGAGTTGCATATATAAAAAAAAAAAAAAAAAAATAAATAAAATAAAATTAACCGATCTACGAATAAATAACTTTTTTAATTTTCTTTCTGAATATTTATGATAAAAATTAAATTCACGCGATTGCTAAATCAAACAAAAATTTTAAAATACCTCACAACGTACAAAAATCCATTGACAAAAGATTTACATATTATCCCTTCGATTCCAGAAAAGCCTCGGTTGCGGACACAGAAGTAAATGGTGTAGAGAATCTCTAATGTGATTTTTAACATAATCCCAAGCTAAGTGTCACCAAATGGATGGCTACTCGATCACACGACTCCGATATATTTTAGTTCCCGAACTCGCGATGTTACTTATCGTGTTTGTTGTTTATTGCGGTTTGTATATTTCTATTGATAAACAATGAAAATAAAAATATGAAATCTCAAAACGATAACAATAACAATGGCCACGATGTGCGAAACACGACGGTAAATGTATATTCTTGGGCGACTGGCGCGAGGAAACATTTGCGGACAAGGGATGATGAAACATGCATGTAAATACTGTTCAGGGCTGTAAATTATAATTAAAACGACTTACAGTGATGCCGCGTACACGCAACATCTAGGTTTCAGACATGTCGGAGCGTGGACAGCTTCATGTTTCGATAATGAAACATACTGGGAACCGGATACCGGTGTGACGTCATCGGTCCTTGTCAACGGCGTGCTTTCGGTCGCCATCTTCGTGAAATATACCCGGAATGCATAGGAAAAAAAATAACCATTATTATAATGTGAATATTAAACCGTACATTTTGTCATATCATAAAATATCAAAAATATTAATTTTACTACTATTAACTTTTATCTAATATCATTCTTAACAGTTAATTTATCGTATTATATATATAAAAAAAAAAGGATAATGATAGTTTACATTGCATGACCTTTTGCATACCTTTTGACAATCGCAAATCATTTTTTTCGTAAAAATCTTTCTTATCAAGAACATGAACACTGTAAAAGTTGTTCAGCTGTACTTATAATGCTACCAGTAAAAGATTTTTTTACGTAAATTTCTAATTTTTTGAGCACAATTATCCAGTCGACCGTTTGAAACTTAACCGTGAATATGGCATTTGATCGACGGTTGGTTATCGGACCACAGTAGTTGGTGTAAAAAAGTTATTTTTATTTCCTACCCTTGATTTTTATGTGCCATTCAGATATTTATAATACGTTATGTTTTTCATTTTAAAGAAACAAAATTCAATATTTCAATTTTAATATTTAAATTATGAATTATTTTAATGAAGTAATATTTTATTTTTATGCTGAGAAGGTAAGTACGGAGGGAAAGGATTAGAACAGCAGTTGGATTTTATCAAAACTCGCACAAAAAAAAAAAAAAAATGAATAAAAATTAAGAATGTACTCAGAAATTAATTTGGAATCATTTTCTAATTAAAAAAAAAAAGTAATATTACATTGTTGATTAAAATAAGGTATAATATTATATAACCTTTTTTTATCGTCTACTATGAATTTTTCTAAATTATATCACCACAGATCCGTTTTCAAAAGAATATTTTAATTTTTCCACACAAATTTATACTTTTTAGTTTGTAATACATTTTGAAAAATATTTTTCAGTTATATATTTTAACTATGTGCACAAAAGGTAAATTTAAATATGATTTTTGATAATATTAAAAAATCATCATGTATTGGAACCATCTTCAATAGTCATTGTCTTCCGATAGTCTGTACCAAAACCGCTGAGGAAGGTAGAACATTGTTAAATTAAATGTTTCCTATTCTCTTACAAAATAAAGCAAAAACGTTAATACGATAGCGTTAACATGCTTTTAGATAATTTAATTGTTTACATATTTATCTTGTTTGCATTAATTTCTTTCGGAATGGTTTCAGAAGTATTGTTTATGTTGAATGCACGGGTGGGCTTAAGGGGGTAGCTAAGGGGGCATTAGCCCTCCCCTTAGGACTAAGCTATCTATTTTACAAAGCAAAGTATTATTATGTATTAATAATTATAATGAAATATCGTCAATGGTCATTGATGAATATGGTACCTATTTTATATATTTATTTAAATACATATATTTACCTATATTTTAAAGTGGTTTCAGATTAAGATTGATACCAATTATGTAACCATTTAAACTTTGTCATTATTATGAAAAAAATGACTTACTTATGAGGGACTCAAAAACATATTCTGTAATTTAAAATTTTATATACATTTAAAAAACCAACTAACTAAATTCTTAAACCTCCATTAGCCCCTCCCTCGGTTAGTGATAAAACCCGCCCCTGGTTGAATGTACCAACGATGATAATAATATTTGATTATTTTAGCCGAGTCCGCTGCAATTGTAGTGGCGTGTCAAGAGGTTTTAATAGTTCCCAGATAAAAACGGACGTAGTGGGGTGTGTACATGAGTCATTGTAAATGTGTAAATGAGTCAGTAATTGCGTTTGGGTCAATATCGTTATAATAGCATAAACAGTGAAAAATGGCTACAACTACGCATTACGTATTTTCAGTCGTCCGCGGATTGGCCGATGAATCCAATTAATTTTCCGTTATTCCAGTTCGATCGGACTGCAAAACCACACTAACTCATGAATAATCTAAAAGCCTTATCGATTATTACTAATGAATAGGGAGCGGATTCAAGTGAAAATGAATATATGTATAGGCATAAGATTTTTGAAATCTGACGAGAATTGTCCCCAATTTAGATTATTCTTATTATTAAAATAACAACAATTGTATTTTGGGTATTTTACATATTTCAACGTTTTTTACTTTGTTTTTCATATTAAATGCATATTTGTATTAATAGAACATTTATTTGTTTTACCTTATATGTTATTTTCACGTTCACAGCCACATAACATGGATAAAACGAATAACGTTCGTTGCCGTCAAAAATAAAATGTCATACTCGTATGCAACATAGACATACATTTTATTAATATAAATCAATTCATACGAGTTCAAGTGTTCGACGGAATTACGGGGCACGATTAATCGGTGTCGTGCGTTCGTGCTTTTATTTGTTCGTAATGCTTAAAGTCAAAATAGAAATCAGAAATGGTTTTCAAACAAACGTAAACGAGCAAATATATATTTTTAAAACCAATGATCAAATTTCGTATTGCAATGCTTGTGAAATGTTTACATGGTTTATAATAAAATACTTTCGATTTAATTATAGGGGCATATTTAAAAATAAATGCGTGTTTTTTAGCATATTTTGAGAATTTTTTGTGCATATAAATCGGTTCCCTGCTTATAAATAATGAAGCACGTTAAATATGCCGCGTGGACGTGGTCGAGTTGTGATTACTCGGACTCCTAGTTTTTGATGTATTATTGTGCTTTTTTTTTTATTGATGAAGGCGAAATTTGACTAATGATTTTCAGATTTCATCCCTCACTGGGGGCGATTATTGGAATTCATCGTTACTATCGGAAAAATAATACACATTACATTTATTCAGAAATTTTATTTATCTATTCGTACGGCGATTTATTTGAAACAGTTTGACGTTAGTTATTTTTTATTTGGAAATATGATATAGATTGGCGATTCGATGCAAAGCATTACATAGCATGTTATTATTTATATTTTATCATATACTTAAGCTACAGACTCTATTGGTATACGTATTATTATTATACGTGTACGCACGTCATAGCTCAAGGCTCGATCAGGTATTTTCAAGGCGCATCCAGTAAATAGTTATTGTAGCTATTATATTGTATTCGAATGGCCGAATATAAACGAGAAATTCCAATATTTAAACGATCGATTGCGACCTTATTGTTTTCATAGTGTTTCATAATTATTTTCGTCCACGTATGACTGTTGAATAAACTTAAGTTATCACCTGCTAATTAACATAAAGATACAATTTTTGCTGAACGTAAGCTGCGATAGAACTTTTTCCGCCCGTTTTAAAACCAAATCAACTTGAAACTCGTTCGGATGTATTGAAAATCAGTCGTTATATTTAAACACGTTATAAAAAAAAAAAAAAATTGGAAACTGTTCAGATGTTAAACGGCTCGATCTTACGACTTATTTTTGAATTAAAAATTCTAATGGGCTACGTTTAACTTTAGGTCTATCAAATTTTTGAAATAACAAAACGATTGTTCGGTTCATTACAGCCGTGCGAAAAAAAAAACAAGTTTTTGCTATCTCTTAGAATTATGCCACCTTCAGTGCTTGTACGGTTTAAGTGGTAATAACGGTTATAGATATAATGATCAAGTCATGAGTTTCGTATATCCAATAGTTTTAGCGTTTTATTAGGCGTATAATATCACGAGAAAATGGGAACTACGATATTGTAATAATATTATGTATTACTGTTCGTACGTATTCCCTGTCACGAAATGAAGCATGTCAACTTGAGAATTTTTTTCAGTTCACGTAATCATTTTAGCAACGAAAAATAAAATACATTAACATATTACGTAACATTCGAATACTGTGTTTTCACTACAATAGTAATAATAATAAAATAACAGATAGTACACTTGAAATGTTATCAACGGAATTTGCACGTTAATTATTAATTAAGCGTTCGAACCGCTCTGCACATACGATCAGTAACAGTAGACTTTTACGTTTTATTTATTATTATTTATATTATTATATATATATATTTGTTACCAGGTACTGACCGAGGGCACGTAGCGGTTGGAAAATAAAAAAAACATAAAAATATAAAATAAAAACTTATGCGAAAACTTACTTTGGAAAGACTGGACGTGTGCTTCGCCTTCGGTATTCTACGGCTAACTAGAGTGCGGATTTGGCAGGCTGTGGGAAATACGATCGTTGCACGATAACCTGCAGGACTAAAAGAAACCCTTCAAATCTGTGTATATGTGTGTGCGTGTGCCCATCGCTGCAGCGTGACGTTTATTGGAGAAAAACAAAGGGGATACACACTGACCAGAGTGTTACGTAAAGCGAATTTGACACCTTGAATAGAATATATAGTTAGAGAGAGAGAGAGAGAGAGAGAGAGAGAGAGAGAGAGAGAGAGAGAGCACCGACCGTGTATAGACGAATAATCGATATTGTTCAACGTTAACTCAATTCCCACCGGACATTGATCGTCTTCAGTCCCGTGCTAAAGGAGATTTACGTGTCCAACATGCGTGTTTCGATGATGATGATGATGATGATAATGATAATATGTTCAAAGAGTTTTATAACGCGTTTAGCGCTTTTCAGTTAAGGTTCTTCGGCCTTCGCCACGACTCGTCCGATTTGTCCACGCGAACCATGCGAAAGAGATAGATTTTTAGTTTATTTTAACACGTGATCGAGTAACGTTATGATAATATCGGTTTGTCGACCAGAAACAAAACCGTTCGCAAACAATAATATAATAATGAACTGTTTTGCGGCGGTACCGAGTCATCTGCCGGAATAACATTTCGCGGCGATGGACTTTACAACGGAGATGTCCTATAAAACAAGTGGTATACGTGACACATAATATAATGTAGATGCGCGTGATTTAAATTTCGAATTAATTTTACAGTGTCATATACGACTCGTCATTACATCCCCATTACGTCGTACGCGTTCGTAAGTCGTAAAACGAAGTAGAAAAAAAAGTAGAATATTTTATGGGGTGATCTATCTACGCATATGATACCTATTATAAAAGTTATTGTTATTTACGGGGTCGATCATTAATAAAAAATTATGTATACACTTTGTTTTATAATCGTATTTCGACGATTTACGTGAGTTTTTATTACAATTATAATAATATTTATAATAATATAAAAAAAAAAAAAAAAAAAAATAATAAATTGTTGTTGATGTTACCGTCGTAGTGTATGATAAAATCAATTATTCGTAGAGTAAGAGTATGATCAAGATTATTAAGAGTATTATTAAGATACAATCAGATCCGTAGTTATAATTATTTGTGTAATGTTCCTTGTTGTGTCGCACGAAAATAGTCGCAGTTGAATGTTTTTAATTATGATTTTTTAAAAATCAGTCGATCTCGCGTGATCAATTTTTTTTCTTTTTTTAAATCTATAATACTAACCTATAACTCGGCGAAAAACTTAATTCACAGCCGTGCAGCCATCATCGACGCTTACCGTGGACTGAACCTTTGGTGACACACGTCTAGGCTTTGTAGTTGTTACTTTTTAATGCGCCCGATGGTTACCGGTCGGTCACGTTATGTTTTACCGCCCTAACCGCGGACGATGACTAATAATATTTTGTGTCAATGAACGTTCACGTTATAGTGTTTCCATAATTTGAATTTTTTTTTTAACTTTTTTCAATCTTCCACTTAAAATAGTTTCTCGTTCGACATATGTAACAATCCGTTATTTAAGAAGTGAGGAATACTTTAGTTGTACAACGATGTTTTTCCTTCTGCTTTTTATTTTCCATAACATTTTTTCTGGTTGTAAACCGATACTAAAAGTTTAATATAACAATATTTCAGAATAGGACGCAGATGATACTTTGGAGAAGTAATTTTTCGAATTTCTTAGTAGTTTTCATGAGAGTAGCAGGGAGAAAAACTTGGGAATAATTTCACCCTCGAAGCTTCAACCATAAGATTTCGATAAAATTGGTAGTTAAGCAATTTGTTTGTTTTTATCCCTCCCGTACGCGATCGTTTACAATGTTTTTTAACGTGTAAAAATAAACACGATTGACGTAACATACGTTTATAATGCACAACACGTATTCACATACTAATGTATGATACTAAGTATCATTACGTTATTTTATTATTATTATTATTGTTGCATGCCGTCTGTTTACCAGTAACATTATTATTATTACATACGTGTATGATCTGTAATCAATAAGAATAAATATTGTCGTTTTAAAAATTTGTCGAATCGATCTCGCACAAATGGAAAACCGATTTTAAGGATTCGCAATGGAAAAAAGAAAAATAAAAGAAAATATATTGGTAGAACTCGGGAGATAATAATATCGTAATATTAAACGAAATATTTCATTCAGGGTTTTTTTTTTTTTTAATAAAACAAAAAACCATACGAAACAATTTTACCAAGGATTACCGCTCAAGGTGATCCGACGCAGAGCATTATCGTACTGCGACGGGTCGGATCGAATTGCCGACGACAAAAGGGTACATCATTAGGTCCACATGTTCCTGTACACAATATACATGTATACATATACATATATATATATATATATATATATATATATATATATATATATATATATCGTGAACGCGACAGTCGTCATCGAAATCCGACACTAAGGTGACCTAAAAATAATGTCACGACTGCGAAGTAACAAAACCGTACGTTTTACGTCGTTTGCGTATTTTTCAAATTCACGACATCATAATACACAACTGGACAACATAAAACGTAAATGTTTTTAGACCTTTTTTTTTTTAATCCAACCGCATACCACCAATGCAGAACGTAACATTGTCATCACCGTCGCCTGACGCGTACGCGCGACCGACTTTTCGGTTTTTAATAGGGTAATCGTTTTCACCGGGTCCATAAGCGAAAAGCACTTAGCAGCAGGAAACTTGTAGTGGGCGGGGTAAACGAACTGTATTATGTATTCGCAGTGCGGATACGATTATATAAAACGTAATTTTGTATTATATTTCGTGTGGACGATTGGTTTTTTTATTTCTTTCTATATAAATCCATGCGTAAGTAGGGGATAATTACGATGTTATTCCTGTTCGTGGAGATGGCGGTGGTCAATAATTAATGACCGATCGTTTCGTCAAAGTATGCAATTAAGAGAGAAAAATAAATAAAAACCTTAGAGCATCGCCCGTGTAGAAGGTACACCTAATGGATACGTTAGTGTTTAATTACTATGTACATGTATAAATAGACGATGATGATACGTTAAGGACGTGTTTGCATGACGACCTCAGCGCACGCCAGACGTGATATTCCAATGAAAAATATATTCGCGTTGTGATCATTATTAGGCATTAACGGTTCTCCGTGGTCGTCACATAGAAGTCATGCAATATTCAATATAAATTAAATATCCAATTTTACTGCATAGCTAAATATTAAATAAAAGCTATTCATTTTGTTATTTTTAATAAAAAAAAAAAAAAATTAAATATCTGAAGTAATCGTAAACGTTAACGTTTAGCTATATATTTTTAAATTAAATTTCAGGGAAAACAATTACGTTTCTATTGCCGTAATCAGAATGCCGGAATGGGTTTTTAAACACATATTGCATGATTATGCAACAATCACGAGAAATTTTTGGGATTTTATGCGGTTTTTTTGAAAATTTAATAAAGTAAAATGTTTCGATCGTTTACTCTTCATTTTTATTTGTTCCTTAAAGCGTATTACGAAGCACTATTAAAATGCCGGCGTATTGTGACGTCTCGAATTCGCATTCCCAAACCATTGTATCAGGTCAATTTTTAGTTTTTTAGTTTTACATTTTTTTAAAGTAATTCACGAATAGTGATCACTCGCATCATTCATGTTGTAGTAAGATTGCCAGTTTACCTCTGTCGGCTACCTGTGCCGATACAACGCGATTCGGTAATGCTCGTCACTAATATTGTGTTTTGTCAGGCCCAGGTTACCGTTCGCGGGCACTCCATCAACGTTGTGTTCGACACTTACACAGATTCGCTTATTGACGTTTTGTTCACGAAACGTTTTGCAATACGATTTGGTAAACAATTTTCACTGTACACAATACTGATTGGTAATCATGGTTGTGTGCATATTTGTGCGTGTGTGTATCTAATGAAGCGCAAGCGCCAAGTGAGTACTCGTGTTAATGAAACAAAGTTATGGATATTCTTGTTTTCAATGCAAAACAACGGCGAGGGATCCGCCGAACGCGGTTTGCAGAGACAAAACGCTATCGTTTATTGTAACGTGCACGATATAAAATTCGATATATTATTATACAAAATCCGAAAAATCGGTCGCCTTTTTGCGTTCGTTTTCGGAAATCCGATCGCCGCGTCACATGAACTGATCGACGTCCTGGGGCCGTAGCTCGGGCACGTCCACGTAGTCCTCGCTCGACCAATCCCCGTAATCGGTCCGGTCCACCATGTCCGGCGTGATGGTGGTCAGCAACGGAGTGCCGTCCGAACCCACGCTGAAGTACCGCAGCAACACTTCCGGCACGGCGTACGGCCCCGGCGGCCTAGCGTTCTGGTTAATCATCAGCGGTAGATCGTCGTTGGAATCTGTCAAACTCTTGCTTGATCGTTTCAGGTCGTTCTGCGCAGAAAAAAAAAAAAAACTGACGTTAGCGAAACAATAAAGACGAGGAGAAAAAAAAAACAATACAATAATTATTATTTATTGCAATCGACAAATATTGCGATTTATTATCATAAATACATTGCGGAGGAATAAAAAATATTCGCTTTTAAGCTAATACAGGTCAATATATTTCAAAATTTTAGAATTCATCGTTTCAAGAATAGTAAATTTCTGTTTATTATAAATGAAAAGAATCGCGTTTACTCATTGCTGAACGTTCGATTAGTGTTCTCGGAGTTGAACCTTTTGTCGTTGAATTTATAATCAATGTAGCGGTTCTGTAATTTCACTTGTACAAATAAACGATTTAAAAACGATATGATCCTTTACATTTGGTTGTTGTAAAAATAAAATGTTGTCAATAACAATGCAGTACTCAATCAGTTGTTTGGAATCTTGCGGAGAACACGACAATTCATTTTTCAGATAAATTAGTTAAAATTGTTTTTATTTTGATACATTTGAAATATTAGCTTAATTTTAAATTACAAAAAAGAAAAGAAAAAACTGTTCAATAAGCGTTTGTTTTAGACGCCGAATAATGTATTTAACTGTACCGTAAGTGCATAATTTTTGGGGTGTAATTATTTGAACAACTATTCGATACCAATTACTCGTATATTTCGGATAGGAAATTATACTCAGGTACTCCATAACAATGGCGGCGTCATATACTTTATGGATAGTATTACCGCAAACACGCGGTTATGGTTTATTAACACAATTTGAAATATCAACCGATGACAGGTAGTACGAACGGATTGGATTCGACGTCGACGAGGGATTATTAAGTTATTGATGATTATTCATTTGATTTATGTACGTCGGATTTTGTTGAGTTTCAACGGAACAAGCATAAAAACGGTATATTATGCGATTGTAATTCGATCACTGTCGCATAAACCGTGTCCAATGCGTAAACAGAAATACAAGAATGTAAGATTGTTATCTATGATCATTGTAAAGTTAATACCGTCGTCGAGCGTCGTTCAGTGTTGAACGTCATGAATCCATGTATAATCCGAACAGCTCTTCATTTATCGGTCGACGTTCAATACGCGCGAGATTGTACTGTTACATTTGATTCGTTATTCTTTAAGCTATACAGAACTAACGCGATTCCTCTCGGTTTTCAAAGTGTTTAAGTTTTTTTCCCCCACCGAGTGATCAGTATTCGGACGACGCGGAATATAATGCAACCGATTTATTTAATTGTTGTCGTTTTTAAACCTGTTACATTTCACCGAATTAACGACAATTCCGATTTAATTCGGCGGTGATCATTTTAGGAACATTTATTTTATTTTTATTATTTCAAACAGAACATTGCGAATCCTTTAGAATTTACGAGATATCCATCAAATATCGTATTTTGTCAAAAGTTTCCATTAAAATTTGCCTAATACCACAAAACATAGTTGTGGGGCTTTACGAAACCTTTTAATATCAACACTGATTAATATATTTTATGTAACTATGAAATGTTACGTCGAAAAAAATAAAAATTACGTATATTTAATTTATTTACCTTGTAACATTTGCTTATTTGATTGAATTACGTAATAAATTAGAGTAAAATTTTGCATCGCGTGACACGGAAAATACGTGTAAAATATTATAAGCATATAGGATTTTGTTGACGCGGTCTTTTCCAGTTTGAATTATATTATACTGAATGTACATTATTCATTACTTGACACGAATTCAAAATAAATACATCGTAAAGGGGTGTTTAGATATACTGAAAATTGTGAGAAATTAAAAAAATGCAACACGAACACAATATTCAAATAATAAAAATAATTATACTTAACAAATACTTCATCATACGTTTTTTCCCCCACGTTTGATAGGATCTAAACATGTGCGATATTTTTTTTAAAGAAATCAGGTTGGATCATTTTTATTTTATATTGTAATTTTAAATTTAGTCACAATTTAGCATTGTGTGCTTGGAAAGTTCGGAAACTTATTAAATATTTACCTCGTATATTAAACGTTATTAAACTTTTTAAACGCTTTGTATTTTGAAATAGTTTCACGCATATAATGTGACAAAAGTAAAATAATATTGTTGCGTTTTTATTAAATTAAATTCACTTTGGCTTTGGCGTGTAAACTTTAAAGAAAATCTGTTCATTATCACTCACTGAACATCCAAAAGTCCAAAAGTTAATACATTTAAGCCTACCGTAGACATGCCACGTTGCTGTTGCGGTGACATTTTTGCTTATAATCTTTTTTACCTGCTTTTTTTTTTTTTTTGATCTTTTTATAATCATACGTGGAGATAAAGTCATTATCAGATAAACTCAAGGAATAAAAATAAAGTTCTGTTTATTTTTAAATCCGATCGTTCGCACAGAAAAAGTACGGCACGAAAATGATATAAAAATAAATAATTAAATAAAAATAAAATTAACTAAAAATAACTGAAAAACTGTTATTATTGTTTCTCCGACTGTAATAGAAATTCTTTTATGGAATATGATTTCGGTATAGATTTATAAACGGCCTTTTTAAAGATTCATTTGTAAGTCCAGATTATAATTTTTCAAAGAAAATGGAGGGAAACGATCTACATAATATGTAGGATAATCTATGATTATTAAAAAAAGAATTCTAGTCGTACAACTGCTCGAAATATTTACTGGATTAAGCGGAGTAATGTCGAAAAAAAAAAAGAAAAAAGATGATTAAATATATTCTTCCTTTCGCTACGACTACACGTGCAGTTCAAACCGATATAACTTTATTCTTATACGAAGTCGTTTCAACATTCGCTTGCACCCTACGGCCAACGACGTGTTACGTTCCGGGCATCTATTCCGAAAGCGAAACGGAAAACTCGCAGCCAATATGCGTTACCGGCCCGAGGAACATATATAATACAGGTATAATGTGTTCTTGTTCGATTCATATTTTGCGTTTTAGTCTCGAAATCAATACGGATCCGTACCGGTACGTGTTACGTTACTTTTTCAACTGTGCGGAGCGCAGTGGACCACGTTTAGTTTTTCCCGGACATCAAGGGCCGTAGAGTAGACCGTTACAGAGTTGTCAGGGTGCGTGTGCGCGTGAGTGGGGTGGGGATAGGCTTCGTCGATTAGTTTTTTTTTTTTTTTTTTTTTTCCTGTTGCTTTAGATTTTCGTATTCGTAACGCGGGACATCGTCGGAAATCATATCTCGAGAATATCAGTTTGAGGGAATTCGTCGAACCTCCCGCGCGACGACGACCGTCAAAAACGGCGCGACGATCGCGCGCGGACGGAATTGTAGATTTCGCATCATCGTCGTGTCTGTTGCTAACGTTGTACGGGTTCATACCTCGGGCGTGCAGACGTGATTCAAACAGTAATAGTTGCCGTTGTCCGCGGAATGGCACCAGGTACCGTCCGGAAAATACGGATCCACTGGCAGGTTCGAAACGTCCAGTCTGGGCGCGTAAAACGACCCGGTGTCTTTGCGCCGGCAGAACACCGAACATCCCATCCACGGGCGAGCTGCGAACAAAACGTACACCGTTAACGTGTTGTTATTGTTTTTGGTTTTCCATCGTTCCCCGGACAATACGTAATGTCAAACGTGAAATAGACGGGGAAACGTGCGTGTGCGATGTCGATTTCAAATGGACGGAGCACGAAAAATAAAAATTAACTTGTCGATACGGTTCCGACATATGTGGCCGCCACATATGTATTTAATGTGAACAACAATTGAGCTTAAAGATTATTTATAATTTTACGTACGTCTGCGTTTTTGGTCCGTTCGTGGTAATACGTCTGACGCGGACCCGCGCAGAGCTATGTATCGATTATGAACTGCGAAAAATATAATCTGCTGCTGTTTTTTGTCGATGATTATGAATGCATTTTGCGTGATTTTCAATGGAACTACTTTAGTTTGTGTAGAGTGTATAAGTTTAGGAAATATTACGTATCTGCATTTTATGGAAATTTTAACATTTTTATTTGTTCTTAGAAATTAATAATTCAAGTTGAAGATATTGATAATAAAAAACCAGCTCACATTATTATGATAAGTTTTAATGTTGACGTAATACTAAAGAGTTTTTCTGCGATAAAGTAATCTGCAAAATAACATACTTACAACCAATATTTAATATTTCAGTATTTCTGTTAATCGTGAAAAAAATGAACGAGCGTTACGAAATGTTGAAAAAATAGAGACCGGTCATGTGCGTAGATTTTAATTCCTGTTTATAGTTCGAGCTCATCGTAGTTAAATAAAACACTATTATGTTGTTTTTACCGAGTATTTTATATCGTTATAAATGTTAAAAAGTATTAAGTAATATTTATTGAAATAAAAAAAATCTTTCAATTACAGCACAAACAGATCAAAAATACGATTAATGAAAACTACAATGTCAGATATAAATATCGAGCTTTTTCGATGATTACGAGTGCATGCAATATTATTTACATTATTAATGTTTGAACAATATTAAATTGATTCTGAACGAAACCAATGTCATTCAACTCGATTGAGAGTAAAACGCCTGTTTTTGTTTAGCTGTATATCTAGAAAATATTATTAATATAAATAAAAAAAAAAAAAAATCAAATGGAATAAATAATTAGTTTTACCTAATGTCATCAATCAACAGACGTATCATTGACGCTTACAGAACTGTCTCCCAAAGAGTAAAAGTGTTATTATTATTCTCCGTTCACAAGTTAATATTATTCAAGCAAGGGCGCCTATAGGAAAATTCTCAAGGGCGACAAAATTTTAATTTATCAATCAATTCATAAATAGGAATGACCCACGATATAGGAAGGGGCTTACAATTTTTCATTATACTATTACATTATATATATCAAACTGGAAGACCATAAAATAATAATTATTTAACCAATTTACCATAAAAGTAATTTATTAAAATTTTTATTTAATTATCACAATAATAATTTAAATTCGACACTTAAAACATTAGTTGTATTTATTAAAATATTAATTCACAAATATTATATAAATATTATGGTGGTGTACACACACACATACACACACACACACACACACACACACATATATACAGTATTTATGGAAATACACAATATTTTAAGAATTGATAATTATCCATGGAATAGAAACGAAAAAGCGTATTGTTATTTATAGCTGATAACTTGATTTTCTAATCTAAATAAATTTTTCATAAACAAATTATAGATTTTCATATATTAAATTAAATTTTTAAATTATACTTAAATAAATGTATTCTGATCACTGTAAACAATTTTCCAAGAGGGGTCATGTTCCTCCTTTGCCCCCTCCCCTATATGGGCGCCCTTGTATACAAGACATTGTTATTGATATAATTTTCGCGTTTTGTTTTCGTCGTCGTTCGCGCGTTGTATCCACGTTGTATCGACGTTTTCCAAAATTATACCCGTTGCGACCGACCCAACGTTCGGAAATTCATCACAACAGATCGTGGAAATATTCGTAATAGCGTTACGTGCGCGTGCGAAACGTATAAAAAGTGAAATTATCACCGAACACCATCGGTCCGCGTACCGTGCCGTGCAGTTTAATCAAATTTTCGTCGGGATGCGAACGAGTGTATCGCCGTTATAATATTGCCCGTTGCCGATTATGACCATTTCTCACCCGCCCCAAATTTTTCGGGCGTATCGGAAAAGAGGAGGACAACGAAATGGCGCAAAAAAAAAAGACAACATCAATTTTGATGATTGATCAAAGTGATTTAAGTAACATATACATATTATACACACATTTTTTTATAAGATTATCATATTTTTTTACCATTTAATTTATAAATTGTTCTAATATATATGTTCCAATGGCCTCGATGCCGAGGGTATGTCTTTCTTAAAAAAAAAAAAAAACGAAGGCAGCATTTGATGGCCCGTCGACTAAGATGGAACGGCAGTCGGCCGTGTAGCGCTGTCAAAAACATATTGCCGACGAAGACGTTAATTTACAAAACGTTATAAAGACACAGCTGCCATGTATAATTACGTCATGATCGCAACCGAAATGTTAATGTTCGGTACCAGCGCACAACTTAGAACGGATTCGGTTTCAGCAAAGCGTGAAACGCAGTTGATACGGTGCTCATACGGTACGTGTTCATCGTGGTGTATTAGCCGACGAGTGTCGAAATATTTATTAAACACGTGTTCGTTCGACTGCACAAACGTGTTGAAACAAACGCGATTCGATTTGCGATTGACAATGTTTTGACAACAGCACTTGTGTGATCCAAACGATTTTCGTACCCGAATCGAACGCACGTCGCGATTACAATTTATTGTAGTTCTAAAAAAATCCTGAGTACAATTCGTGTGTTACGTACTGTTAAAACTGGTGTGTGTCGGAAGAATGGTACGGCGAAGTTGCTTTCGATTTGTTATGTATGTCAACGTAATTGTAACACAAACGTAATACAAACGATGTCTGACGAATACGATCAAGACCAAAAAAAATCGACAGCGGTTTCGAAAAAAAAAAAAAAAAACATTCATTATACTCTGAAACCACCAAAACCTTAAAGAAAGCATTTGATTCCTAGATTCATTTAACGGTTATATCGTATGTTTATTAAATATACATTATTGTCGGGGTCGGTTTTGGTTCTTTCGGTGGCCAGTGCAAAAATTATTTGGCACCCTTTTCTCTTAAACGACTTAAAAATATAACTTGAACTGGTAGGGCTAAGCTACGTTTATATTCAAGAATGTTCAGAACGATTTTTGAAAGTGCATGTAACTGTAAACCATTCAGAGAACAAACACCAATAATATAGTGATATTTTATTAAATTGTAATTGTACCAACGAGCGCTGTTACTCCTTGCATGTCGATAAAATAATAAATAATAATAATAATAATCAAATTTTGGCATGTTAAATGTAAAATTTTATTTTATTTTCTACATATAATATATAACTTGCGTGGCCATCGTTCAATCAGATTTAATTCTAGTTTTGACGCCTTTCACGCGCTCTCCTGATTTTGTTGTCTTGTGCCGTTGCACGTGTCGATCGTATCTAAATCCGGCTCTGATTATTGCCACGCAACATAGTGACCGTTGTTTATTTTCTCTGGACATTTTTGTTTCTTAAGAGTAACTTAACAATAACGTCGAGAACAGCTCGTAAATCTACCGTCGGTGTCCAAATCCGAAACAGATAGCGTGATAGTGTAAATGTTTGTGCGAAATTAATTCAAAACGTGTACAAAAACTGAAATTATAATATCATCGTGTCAGCTACGCGTAAAAGTCACTAGAATAAACACACTCTTTTTTTTCTACGGTCGCGTCTACATGCCAATCGTAATTTACATTGCTGCACCGAACACAGTATATTTTAATAGATTTCAAGTGTGCACGTTAACCGTTTCGCGTAAATAAATAATATAAACCACGCGCTCCGTGAAACGTAAACGTGGGTATTTTCAATCGCCATGTGCCCCACTGCTTCCCGCGAACTGTTTTGAATAACGATAATTTCGTTTGTTTTTCACTCTCTGTCTTTCAAATTTATCGGTTGGAATAATCAACTCGATTTTATCGCGTTCTCGAACATTTTGTTCGGTTAGATTTATCGACATCATTTTTATTCATTTATTTTTATTTTCCAAAAGTCGAATAATCTAAATTGCTGATGGACTCTATATCCATACATTACACATCCGTGGTGCGTGCGCGCGTAAAGGTCACGGTTTACGACCGATCGTAAAAGATCGTAAAATTGCTAAAGGATCGCGCGTGAATTTTAAATCCGAACATTAAAATAATCCGGCCTACGTTTATTGCACGTATGCATGCATGTATCATGCCAAGTTTATAATGGGCCTTTCAGAAAAACGGGGAAATTCGAAATAACTCTCACGCAAGTCGTTACAACAGTATCCATACAGTCCAAAAGTGGAGAATAACATGTTTTGTAATTAACGCACGTAAGATGATGTTCGTTATGTACCAATACATATTTGAAATGGAAGCGCGTGTTTCGACCGGCCTTAATAAGTTTATAAACAAAACCGGGGTTCACGTAGTTATCTTATCCATAATTTTTTCCACCTGTTTGCCCAGTAGCCGCTATCGGTGGTCCAAATACTTCAGTTCCTATACAATTTGGATTTCATTGAAAATCACTTGAAAAGTGCAACGGAAACATTGGATTCCACGAATGTGAGTGATGTACACCATTGTAGGGATAATAATTTTAATTTTTGGACCTTTAACATTGGCATGCCTACGTTGATTTCATTTTAAATCGTATAACTGTGCGTGTATAGTATTCGCATTTTTTTTTCACTTCTGCGAGAGTCATTCAAAACGTTTTCCATTACCCCAAAAAACCTTGTATCGTAATACCATTTCGCGTGACTAACCTTCTTCGTGCGGTGCCTGCAGACCGGAGTATTCATTGTCCAACACCGGCAATATGCTGCCCAATTCTCTGCACTTGGCCGTCGCGTACTCCGTCACCATTATCTTTTTGGACTTCTGGCACGTCTGTGACACAAACAATATTATCGTGTAGATTACGTCCGTCTAATACAATCATGGTGTTCTGACCTCAGACCTGTATTAACCCGATATGACCGTTTACCTTTTCACCCGAGTGCGAGTATCGGAATTACTTTTTTACCCTCCTCAAAATATTATTAGATTACCGAACTCACCGGCAGCGCGATGGACGTCTATTATTCGTTCGGTAATATGCTGCGATTACGATTATCAATACACTTGTAATCTCACACTTGATAAGCATATTTACTTCCGACACGAAATAAAATTCGACTAGTTTCAAATCAATAACATAGAGGTAGAAAATATTTTTTCTTCACGCTCGTCGTAAAAGTTCGAAGTAAAATATCGAATTGAATCGGATAATCGCATTTCATTAAGAAACTAAGTACTGTATTTATAAATAATATGTATATTGTTTATTTTCCTTAAATAACCATAAATCAAATGGACGAGACTTTGTCGAGAGTCCAATTTAAATTCGATTATAAACAAGAAATACATTTCGAAAATGTTATGAAAGTAACTTCAAGTTGTCGAATACAAAGTACGATTACTCGATCGTCTTCTGATAAACGAGCAAATATATTAAACAAAAAAAAAAAAAAAAAAAAAAAAACGATCAATAGCTCAAGGTTTCGTACGCAGGAATCTCACCCGTGTGGACTATACATTATAATACCGAGTAAGTACGATCTTGAACTCTCGTAATATCATTGGTCATTATACCAGATTATTACGATATACTAAATACGATGAAGTCACCGTATTGTATTTTATACAATGTATGTACCTTATCATCTTTGCAAAGCACGGAATCGTGTTTAGGCCCTTCACATCCTTCGTTCGTGTTTATCGGTTTTGGATTGTTACACGTTCTCGTCCTTAATCTGAAACCTATCGTCGCGGATTATTATTATTATTATAGTATAAAGCGGTTAAAAACGTGTAAACGAAAAGAAAAGTAAAAATAACATACCTTTTGACTTATGTATACACCCCGATGTACACTCGTGCACCTTCCACTGACTCCATCCACCTTTTATGATCTTTTGGGGTTTTTTCGGTTTGCCTTTAACGCATTTTCCCGCTTCGCACCACTGCGTTTGAAAAAAAAAAAAATCGACAACAATAGGTTCAATCCTGGAGAACCCGTAAAAAGCTTTTTCAATTTAGAGTGGATTATGGAAGAAAATAAAAAGCTCGTGTCAAATCAGTTGATTGAATTAAGCCAAAATATAAACTATATTTCCTTCTCCACCGGCCGACTTTCGTTATTTATTTATTTTTTTTATTTGCATACCACCACCACGCGCACCGATTTGTTCCGGTAAACGGAAATATATACACGGTGGCCGCGGTTTGGGTGGGTCGCGTTGAATTCGAAATATGTAAACTGAACAAATTATTTTCAACTACTTAACACGGTCATCCCTTCCAATCTCACGGACCATTCACGGTTTTTCGAGTACGGGATAATCAACGACAGTCTGATGACGTCGGTAAGGAAAAAGGAAAGTTTAAAACGACATTATTATCACGCACGCATATGTACAATTATGACAAATCGTGTATAATTACCAAATTGGGTCCGCATGTAGTTCCTTCTAACGCTGGTCCAGCGAAGTAATATCCAGGTCGGTTCGGCGTTTCACATTGTAAACTTTCGCAAATACTCTAAGGAGCGTAGAAAAAAATATATAAGCATATTGTTAGCGGAGATTTCGTACGTGCGTCTTTTTTCGTTATTTGGCCTCAAATTCGTCGACGCTTACCAACGTGAACGCAAATATCAGATGTGGTTGTACAGCGCGTTAAGGGAAATATGATTTTCATACATAATATTAATATTAATATGTTTAGTTATATTAACTGAATAGTTCGATAAATCTTGATAATCTTGAATTTATTTCAAAACGATTGTTAATATTTCTGATAAATTTGACGAATGGTAAGATTAAAGGAACAAGAACGTTTCTTCGCGTGAATATATGGCGTTGTTTAAAAACACATGTGAATATTGTGTCGTATTGTTTGTGAATTTTATGCAGTTCGTTCATGAAACTATAAAATGCGAACAATTCACTAGAACAAATTTGGTGTAAAGTACATAAATTCAATAGTTTATCAAAACATTTTTTATTTTTTAAGACAAATTTATCTGTATATTTAACATTTAATATTTTATATGGCACTTATCTGGATGCATATTACTCAAATCTAACCCCTAGGGAAGTAACAAAATATAATTTAAACACGCAAAAATTACGTCATATTACGTCACTCGGAGTTTTAATAAATATAAGGACAACGGAAGTGCGTTCACTTTTAAAAATATAAGACATCATGTAATTGTTCCGTGTTCTACTTCAATAGTGCGTTAATAGTCTAGAATAATATTTTATCAATTTTATTACGTAACAAAAATATTTTTGTTTTTAAAATATTTAATCATATTTTTTGTTATTCATAATAAACCGAATACATATTTATATATATTAATCTTAGCCCTGCTTATAAACCTACGAAAATAGTGCAGAATTTCGTGGTTCTTGTCAACATTTAATATTCAAAGAGTAATGAAAAATATTATTATTGTGCGTTTAGATATTCGATAGTTTTTAACACAAATTAACGAATCATACGTGGAACTTTGTATGAAATTTCCGAAAGTTAAGCTAAGATAACAAGATAATTTTAAATATTAATAAAAAGCACACGGTTCTTCGAAAAACGCTCAAATTGCACGCGCGAAAAGAGATATTCTTTATTCATGAAAAATTGTTTTTTGGCGGTGTTTTCGCTGTCACTTGTTTAGTAATTTGGACGACAATGCATCCCTGAAATTATTATTACGTGAAAGTAAACGGAGTGGCTTTTTGAGATTGTGTACCGTTTACGCGAAAATACGCCTGTTTCGTAATACGTTTCAAGTGTGAATAATCAAAAAATTATCGTGTCACACACACACACACACACACACACACACACACACACACACTGTATCCGTATATGAACGTATTAGTAACGCGTGTTCGCGACTTCCGTTTCAAGAAGCATTCAAGTCCGTAATGTTTCACACGTATTAATAACCGTTCCATTGCAGAAATTCTTTTTGCGGACTGTCGGTCTAATTATAAAACATTTTGGACCGTTTATGGACCGATCCGTAAGGTTCACTCTGTATTAGCCTAGACCGTACCATATTATGCGTTTAGTATTACACCGGGCCGGACTACCAGATAATAATAATATCTAAATTTGTAGGTTTTTTTTTTCATTTTATTTGTTTGCATAACAATATCTGTATTTAGATTTTAAGTTTTATGGTTAGAACCGGATTGATTTTCATTTTCATTTTTTCATTTTTTTTTTTTTTTTTTTTGAAACCGAATCAGACTGAAAATAATGCATTTGATCTGAGGACTGGACCGAACTATTTCTAAAAATTATTGAACCAGACCAAACCGACGATTCAATAGTTTTTGTATGTTAAGACCGTACTAGACCGAACTGATTAAGATCGGACTATGCAGAGCATCAGTGCTTACACACCTTAACGTTATGTTTTCTAATGATTATCCCGTGCAATGCGCATGATAAAATGCATTTTACGTTTTATAGAAGCTGAAAAAAAAACTTCCGAATATTTGGTATAATGATAAACCACGATAAACCAATCAAGCTTCATTTGAAAAAATTCAGTACCGATTAGGAAAAAACAGTATTGCTATTTTTTATTTATATTTTTATTTTGTCCACGATAATAATAACGTAAACGCATTTTATTCGATTTACTAGTCGCCGGAAATTGTACTGCACACTTGTGTTCGTTAAAAATCCAATTTCAGGTGCGTGCGTTCATATCGGTCGCTATTCGGGATAAATACTTACTTCTAACTGCTGCGACGGGTCCAAATCATTCGTTTCGGTACCCATTGCTTTGGCATCGTTGTCTAATAACAGCAGTTCGCATTGTTTTTTTGCATCCCACGCTTGGCCAGGCTTGTCGGCGAACTTATTGTGATCAAACTTTTGAACTGCAGCCGAACGGCGAGCAGACTTGAAGAGGCATTCGAGATTGCTGGTGGAACGGGAGAAAAAATAAATAAATGTTGGCAGGAAATTATCTCACACTTCAGTGATCTACATGGACGCACATTCGGTCTAAAACTTGGGAGTACTAAAATCATTCACCCCAAATGTATAGCCGCCCCCTATTTATACCTGGCATAAAATGTATTAGTTTAACCACTTAACTGTAAATTTAGCGATTTTGTACATAACAACTAAATATAGTTAGTAAAAATCAATATTTTTTTATCGATAAACGATCGAACCGATAGACGGTTAACATAACCAAACCCTAAATAGTATTAAATAGTATTCCAGTAATAAATACTAAAAAAAAATTTGACCATATGCGTTTTAAGTAAGTAAAATGACAAATTCCAATATCCAATATTCCTATTGTCTATGTACATGTATAACATACGTACGTTTTACGTTCGTGGTATAGGCGCACGCAGATCTCTATTTCAGGGTATGCAAAAGGTTGCTATTACCTACCCCCCTCCCCTAAAACTGAAATTTAATTTAAGTATTCAAAATTCTGATCTTAATAACTATTTAATTTAAAATTTTAATTTTTTTTCCCGAAAAAAGTGACTGAATAGCCATTTCTTAATCGTTGTAACTGTCTTCATAATTAAAATTTAAAAAAAATTACGAAAAAAAAAAAAATTAAATTTAAACACTTGAAATGGTTTGAGTAATACGATTAAATAGGGTAAATAAATAATAACGTAATTATATATTTCAATGAAAAACAAAATAAATTTAATAAATAATTAAAATTAATAATAAAACGATTCTGCGAACAGTTGAGTTTTTAATATCACCAATAATGTTTTCGGGATTTGAATTTATAGCCATTTCTTGTTCTGTAGTTGATAGTTATTTAATCTCGCTTGAATTATTGTACTTCTTAATTTCATTAACACATTAAATCGTTATTATAGCATATAATTTGTGTTTCAAAAATAAATTAAACTGTCTGGGACTGAATATAAAAATATAATAAAAATCATAATGTAAGACAAAATCACATAATATACATAAGACCAAATATATCATAATTTTTATTTATTTTATGTAATTTTGGAAAAAAGGGTTTATTTAGGGTTAGGTATGCAGTTGCATAGCCTGCATATTCCCTGCGCATGCCTATGATCCATGGCATTACCAATGCAAACTAGAATTAACTTATTCTCATAAACGCAAAATATTCCTCTTTAAACAGATTACATATATTTATACCTCACAATGAGTTGAAGGTGCACCCCCTGTCATCCCCTAATGGTGATCTATAAAATTGCGTTCTATGCACTTATAATGCATGTGATGTTATAGTGGGACGTTGTTACACATGTCGAATTAATAAAGGTAGTATGGAACAAACATAAGCGTGCGCACGGAGGGTGCCATGTGTACCTGTAGGACCTATGATTTAAGTCTAAAAGAGTAAAAGGACCGTATCTTAACTGATGTGACTCAAATAAAGTGATTTTGTTTTAAAACATTTGGTAACAAATCAATGATTTTCGGTAATAGAAAAAATAAAACTTAAATATAACATCTACAATTGACTACAATAATGCGAATCATAAATTACTGAAGCTATCTGAGTAAAATATAGGAGATTTAAGGAAAACATATTCATTGGGTCTAATATATCACAATATTGAATAATTATTATTTATACATTATAATTTATTAAGTATAACCAGTGAACATTACACACAGGTTTTGTTAAGATAGAGCCCAAAAGTATTGTGGACACCCCCTGAAATACAGGTTTAAACACGCCTATGGGAACAAAGTGTACGATTTGAGCGTTGAAATCAATATGACTGCTCTCGTAGGCGGGGAAATCGAGTTGAAATCGAACGCGATCCGATGTGAAGTAGATCGTGCGGCACATTTGTGATGTAATATCATGTTCGTCTGACGTGTTTAGTACATATTGTTGTAGACAAATAAGATGACGAGATCTCGCGCTCGTTTGTACCGGAAAGTATATTGTTATTATTATTATTATTATTGTTATCGGATATTTTATCACATTATTATGTTTTCGATGCGACATCAGAAATGTACAGATATAATAATTTATGTTAAGCGCTCTTATTCCGTTTGATATCGAGGAAAATTCGATGGTCCATTTGGTATCGTTGCAGCGCAGACGGGTAATTTATTATGCTGTACGCGCGGCACGGATTTTATATCGTCTTATTATAATACGTAAACAGGTATATTATGCGTTCAACTGATAATACGTAAATTCAATCGAATAACACTTCGATGCTGTCGACGCACAAAACGCAGTGCGATTTTACATAACCAAACAAAACGTTTAATTTGTTCAAACGGACTTATTCGTTTAAGCGTTTTAATCAGACCCCCGTCGTACCAATTATATAAAAGCACATTTTAACACGACGTTTCCGTGCGGGCCTTTTTGAGGATTTTAGCTTGCCACGTGGTTTTCACGTATAGATAAGCCGATTATATATTTCGGTGTACAGTGTGTATTTTAAAAGTCTGAAAATAGACTAACAGTATACATAAAATAACATCAAAGCATCCAAGTTATTATTGTGTGCTTAACAACGTTGCGAGTACGAATTTATAAAAAGGCCAAGTACCGAGTATCGCCGTAATCCACAGTTAATGTTATGTGATCAATATTTATTATTTTATCAAGTATTAAATTGCATTACGTGCACTGAAATAACGTAAAACTATAACGAACAACGTAGCTCGACAATTTGTATTAATATTATATTGACGCCTAGAAAAATAACAAATGTATTATTTTGCTATGTTATAGGAGAACTAAAGAGAAAATGTTTAATCTAAAGGATGTACTATAAGTGTATTATAGTCTCACGTATAATCTAAGTGATGACAGAACTGCTTTTAATATTGTTTTTCTGGATAAATAAACAAAAAAAGTTCTATGATATATTTATTCTAAGCAATGGACAAGTTTCGTTAAAGTTTTAATATTATTTAACGTTATTGTTTTATTATATACTTCTCTCGACTTAAATTTAAAGATGTGATAAAATCTGTTATTTACATCAGAGTTAATTAAATTGTAAATTTCATGATTATTTTTAAAATTATTTATATATAGGTTTCATTTCATATTAATAAACAATATATATATATATATATATATATATATTATCAATCGAGAAAATGAATAGATTGTTTTTTTTCTTTTTAATAGAAATAATTCATTAAATATTGTTTATTTTTCAAATCGAATTAAATTCTTTGTAAAAATAAAATATTTTTTATATTATGTTCTTAATGTTTTTGGATTTAATATAGTTTATATTTAAGAATGTCCAGAAAGAAAAAAAAATAATACGGATTTACTAATCGAATTTACTTACTTAAGATTGACTGCGACGCGAGCACTACATTCCGACCATGACAATTCTCCAGTGATACCTCTTGAAGGTGACATGATGAATCCTTCTTTCGGGCAACTGTTTGAACTACCGTCGTGATGCATACCTAAACTGTAAAAAAAAAAAAAATAATAACTATTAAATTACGTGTTTGTATATACGTCGGTTATTATACGTATGCAAAGCGTAAATTTTGGAAAAACAAATGTAGGGACATGTATTTAGCAAATTTAAATCGTGAACTTATAAAACTGCTGTACTTTATGAACAAGTCGTGTTACATCGTGTGACCAAATTATAGACATAAATTCAAAAGTGACAATATATAATAATTAATAAACGGACTGTATTATACTCCAAAAGAAATATGTACATAAGAAATCAATACAATGCTTGTATATAATAGTAATATAATGAATGCGGGCGCCACTATAACGCATTTAAAATAAAATGTGGTAGTAAACAATATGCCGCACTGGCATAATACAAATAAAGAAAATGATATCAACTAAATAAATATGATGATATAAGTTGATAATATTAACAAATAATGTCGACTATCGCTGACCACCAGACTGAAAACAGTAGTAATTCAATTCGATTCAAAGTGCTGGGCAAGATTATCGGCCACTTCGGATATATCACAACGACGCAAAATGAATCGAGTATAAAACAAAACGATATACATGCAAACACGGGAAGGTACCACGGTGGCAATCTAGAAAGACAGAACGATGACGGTCAGTCACGACGGTGTACATTTACCCTCGAGGCAGGGTAAGTTAGCACGGGGTTAAAGGATAGGGGAACCGAACATCTCGGCGTGATCATATCGACGTAGCCATTTCGACGTGCATTTCATTTTTTTAGACCTTCAATTTAATTTTTATTATATGTAAATAAGATAATAGAAAAATACTTATAAATAATTGTAAACAATTGTAAAATAATCAGTTTTTTTAAAGGAACAGCCAATAATATGTTTTAATTATTTTATTTTTATTTTATTTAATTTTTACTAGGTTAAGTTATTTATAAAATTATAAAATAAAAATTACACAAATATGCAAGGAAAATTTATAAGTATACTTTTATAATAGTTTACGCCGGAATGGCACGCCGAAATGTCCTACACCCAACGGAGAACCTAGCTCGGAGCCGTGCCGAGAATCTTCTAGAAGCCGGACGGAACCGGTTACAACACGGCGCCCAGAAAGTTCGAGAATAATCCCGGCTGGGGTGGCGGTGACTAGAGTAATGGAAACTTTTTAGAAAACTTTATCAACTAATATCGATAGCGAACAAGTCGAGTACTATAAAACTCACGATCACTTCATGGTTTTTGATTAAAACCAATTGATTCGTTGTTAATTTTGGCGCAAATAATGTTTAATCGACTCTCTTTGTTTATTCCGTTTACAACCATTTAACACGCATTGAAATAATTAACACTTATGTTATCCCCGAAATCGAATTTTTTGGTCGTGCATTAAAAAAGTATTTTTTTTTTTTTTGATTGATTTTCAGATTACCATATTTCTTTTGTGTTCATAAACATAATTTATGCACACAAAGGAATAAAAGTATTTCACTCCGTTTAAAACAATAGAGTCTAACTTGATCTATATCGCATCAGAAGTATAGAGCTACTTGTAAATCCACTTAAACGAACGGATATTTATTAATGTGGTTTTTTGTTAAAAGATTTCGAAGGCAAAAAGGTGGGTAACCTTTTTTTTATTATTAGCAAAGGAAACAGTAAAAAACAATGATGTTGTGGTTGAACAAGTTGATTGAAACATAATCGAATTTCTTATAAAACAGTAAATGATTTCTATCAGTCAAGCTAAATATTTCAAAAACCTAACGGAATAATATCGTGTATGTTATCAAGTATAATTTTTTCTCGGTATTCGAATTCTGTAATAAAAATAATAAATATATATATTTTCCCAAAATAAAAAATAAACCAAGATTTTCAATCGATTGATGGAATTATGTAATTTTTTAGAATAACCATGTCGTATTAAAAAAATATATATATATAAAATATAAAATAATAATCAAAAATTAAACATATCTTCGTAAAATCAATATATTTCTCGGGCCGGCATCAGTATCTAAAATGTTAACTATCTATTTAAATACATATGAAATATAACGTGGACACCAAATGTTTTTATTTAATGAACATTTAATCAATATAAGAATACAAAGTTACGAAATTGTTGGTAGTATATACGAGTAAATTTAATTGTTTTCATTTATTTATTTTTTAATGAAAAACGTATACCTGTTTGTATGATACAATAAAACAAATATGTATCTTTTTATTTATTTATTCATAAGTCTTTGTATAAATAAATTTCTGGATTAGTTATTAATATATTTTGATAAGTCAAATTCTGTGAAGAAATGTACAACAATATGTTAGTGGCTGTAAGTAAAATATTTGTATATATTTATGGAGGGCAAAAACTGATTTTATGAATATTTATTGATTTTTATTTATCGTACAATACAGTCTGAAATTAAATGATTCGATAATTAATTTATTTAAAATTAAAATATTAATAATTTAAGAAAAAAAATCAAAGAATTTATTGTAACGCTTTTTCATTTTGTTTTTGTCAACATTATATATATTCGTGAAACGTTCGGAACTCGAGCGGAGGGAGGCCAAATTAATAATGATTCAATAGTTGCGAAATATACACAAATATAATATTGGGAATAGAGAAATAATTATTAAAATGTCTTTTTAGTATAGTCCCAAGTAATAAGAATTTTGATATTTTTGCTACTGTACATGTAAAATGATTGTGGGAGCACACTGCACAAAAAATTAAATAAAAGTATAAAAAAAAAAAAAATAAGCCAAATTAAGATTTAAGTTGTTATGATCGACATGGACCAATTAACAAAGTGAAATTTCATTCATCATACGTGTCACCGGAATACCAGATAACAGACGGATCGTCTAAAATATAATAATATTAACAATGATTTTGTAACGGTAAGTAATCATTTGAAACGTTCTGAATTCAGTGCTATTTTAGAAAACCACGTGAAGATAATACGACGCGTGTTGTGTTAAATATAAATTAAACCGCTGAAAAATAGTCATTATTTAAAGTAATGACGATTACTTGTAAAAACATAAAAGAGAAATCAAAAAGAGTACCGCATGTGCTTCCACTTTCAATGTATTTAGTATTCGAGCTCGAACGGGGGGCACTACAAATGTTTGAATTTCCTTCCGTCATTGGATTCCTCGCAGACACTGTATAATTAATGGATATTATGTATTTCAACGCCATTCGCTATACATCACAGCGGCGTATTATACATGTATATGTCATATGAACGAGCAGAACACGCGGTTTCAACCTACTCATTGTAATATTTCCGAGTATTTAAAATTATATTTCAAACCGAACGGGAGGGTTTTTTTTTTCCTCCTTTACTTTAAACATTCGCCCGCGTGAACAGTGCAGTCGAGATGAGGAACGCGTGAGCAGAGGGTTGTTGTATCGGTGATGAGACGCGTTTGCGTCGCCTTGAAAACATTAAAGAAACCTTTAATCTTTTAGAGTGTGTTTTTAACTGCAATTAATTATTGATATGCCTCTTAGTCTTTGACAATAGTGGTAGGTGAGCGTTTTTTTTTATTTTTATTTTTTTCCATTGTCGTCAGATCGAAGAGCGAGAACTGTACTGTTATACATGATGTTCACATCGTACACTTATAGCGTCCGTGGTTTTACCTCTTTCCCGTCCACCCTATATCACACTCGTGTAGTCCGGAGGGATAAATTCTTTAATCGAAAAACTTCGCATACGCAGGGTATCACTTGGCACAATAGGCTTTGACCCCGTACGTACTGTAGGTGGTGGATGGCATAGCGGGGTGTTCAAGAAATAATGCATTGGAAACACAATGACATAAATCGTTTCTTCGGCATTCGTTTATTTTTTCCCATAAAACAATTTTATGTATGTTTCAATAAACGATTTTGACTTGCAACCAATATATACATATATATATATATATATTTTATTTGATATAAAAAATCTATTTAATTAGCACAATTAGTTTATACGATGAGAGTATACGACAAGAGATTAATATAATAAGAATGAATTGATTTAAAGCAGCCACTCTCATTAGTGTCTGATCAATAGTGAATTATATTTTTTTTTATACAAAACATAAAATATAATTCACTATTTTTATACAAAACATTGGTTATTAGAATTTCGTAAAAGGTTGAGACACCACATAATTTTTAACCCGTGGTTAGGATTTCGTAGAAGTGTAAGGATGAAAAAATTTTTATGAGAGGATTAGGGTGGGGTTGGGTTCATTTTCGAAGGTGTTTGCAGAGAATACGTGCTTCTTCTTTCATTGCACTCATATGAAAATCATTATTAGGGGTTAGGTTAAAAATATATGGCAGAACATCTGAAATTTTTTGGAATGATACATTCTGAAATGCTTGAATTATATTTGTATTAAATTTTTTCGCAGTGTCTCATAATTGAAGTCTCTAAGTCCGGATCCATTTGATAAGAGTTTTGTAAATTAAGAGTTAGGTTTTTAGACTGATACATTTATTATATATATATAATTCAGATATCACTAACATGTTGACTGATCGGCAAACAGCCAAAACTACCATAGCAATTCATTTCAAATGTTGAGGAAGACAAATTTTTGTGAAATTTTTTATGAACTCGCGTTTATAAGGGTCGAAACTGTTTTGTTCCCCGGACTGGATTTTCACATTTTTTTTTTTTTTTACTTGCCCAGAAAATATTTTATACTTCTTATTGTATAGATTTAAATGACTACCGATTCAGGTACAGGTAGAACTTTTACACACACACGCATATTGTATAGATTAAGAATAAACATTGTTAGAATATACGACGTCAGTGCGCTTTCTTCGACCTGAAATATTTCGTAAAATGTCCATTACCTGTGACCTATCTCGTGGGCTAAGATGTACACGGACGTGAAGCCGGCCGAAGGGTACGGTTTTCCGAGCGGGTCCGTGGAACCGAACTCGGCTATGATACACGAGTACTTCTCGGAGCACACGCCGCCCACGGTCGCGAGACCTGCAAAAACACCGATAGTATTAACCATCCATCGTTGCGTGGTTTGCATTAAAGTCGACCGTACGACGTATCCGGGCTAGTAAGGGATCGCGCGCGGTCGCCACCCTGTGTCCGAGAAACGTTCAAGTACGGGCGACCGAAGTCTCAGGTTTCCCATGCGCCTCCGTCGTAACTCTCGCGTATCGTGTCGGTATCGATTTGTAACCGGAGTAGGTTCGGTTCGCTGCGACAAACGAAACGACGGCAAATGTTCGATTGGGTTCGGGAAACGGCAATCGGTGTTCCGTGAACGGCGCGAAACGACCATTGCTATATCGCTGCGTTTCTCCGCCCGAGGATCGCGACCCCCAGGGGGTCACGAACCCCTAGAAGAGGGGTAGCGTTCGTCAGGATTAATTAATTGCAGATCAGTACATAAACAACCTTATTTTTACGTTAAAAATAAAATCAATACGTTACCGAAATGAAAGAAAAAAAAAAACGAAAAAGTTAGTTCGTACCTAGTACAAATACACTATTATAATATGTAACTGGTAAAAAGGATAAAACGGATAAACTAGTTTAAACTAGTTTTTACTATAAGGAGTGGACGGGGGAAGGGAGAACTAGGTGTCTGATTTAATTTTGTACCCATTTTCGGAGCCATGGCGTTAAAGGGGTTGAGAAACGCTGCCGTATTGCAACGAAATTTTGCGGAACAACTTCGGTTTTCGAACCGCGGTGAAACCCGAGCCGAAGCTACTCGTAGACTGGCACGATCGTTTAGCTTTAACGGTTTTGTCGGGCCGAGTCAAACGCAAGACGATAATGAAAATGACGTGTATCGCGTGCAATGCTTCGTGTTACGACAATAGAGAAAATACACTATGAAAAGACTGTACGCATTAATACTGTATTTGTACTAACCCATTGTGGAACCACTCCAATGTCCATTTTCCATAGCATAAAAGTCCAAGCTGAAAAAAAAATTATTTTTTTTTGTTCTTTTTTTTTTTTTTCTGCACGTTTGTATGGAATGTAATACTAATATTGTTCGGCTGTAATAAACTTGACGTTTTTGACGAAGTTCAGTTAAATGTCCACAAAACATACCGAAATAATAACGTATGCGTCGGAGTCATTTTTTATTATTTTTTATTTTTAATCATGTGCCACTCGTTTGTATGATTATTTAATGCCATTGAACTTTTAAAAAAATTAATGTTTAAATAAATAAACAAATTGTTTGTGTATAGAAATAAATAAATTAATAAATGAATGCTTAGCCTGGAGTATTATTATATCTGTAAGGGCGATCGGTTCCGAATTAAAAATTCGTCACCAGCTACGAAGTAAATAAAAAATCGTGACTGATAATAATAACAATAAATTGCGATTTTATTGAAGTAGTAATAAAAGGGGACTTCTGAGTCCATTTTTGTAATTTTAAAATAGACTCAGAAGCCTCTTTGATATATTTTAAAATTATAAAAAATTGACTCAGAAGCCCCCTTGATATAGTTTAAAATTGTAAAAAATGGACTCGGAAGCCTCCTTTTATTACTACTTATTGGCATTGTATATAGATACTTGATGATGAATTTTCTATTCAAAATTGGTACAAATATAATTATTACACGTATAATATTATTAATGGTTAAGCATTTATTTATTTCTATATATAAAATATTTGTTTATTAATTTATATATTAATTTACGAGTATTAACCACATTTACCAATTTTTAATTTTATTATTTTACTATTTAAAAAATTATTAATAAAGTGAATATGCGTTGTAAAACGTTTTCCTCTATTTTAATTGTTTTTTATTTATATACCCTGAAATGTAAAGTCCTATGTCCCATTGTTCTTTTTCCCTGTATTTTTTGTTGAACGCACAAAACGAATCCAATAACAAATTTCTTTCTCCGTTGTAATGGGGCAGGTCAACTGGTTGCTTTTTGAACATTTCAAGTTTGACCAAAACGATTTCCACTCTTTTTCCTAGACTTGGATGATGATAAAGGACTTGTACCTGAAAAAGATCTTGTTGATAGTTATACTTAGAAAACTTGAATTACCAAACGTCGGTGTATCGAATTTATTTATCGATACTTTAAGTTAATTTCTAATTTATTCGAAACTCGGTTATTTTACTGAATTAAACATGTTAAATAAAACTTGATACTTTGAATTCTCTGATGTATTGAACATTTTAACATTTTGTTCCTTTGAGATTCGGCATAACACGATTTTACTGTATTATAATAATCATTGAAAATCTTATTGGGCTTATTATCTTATTTTACTCTTTCGCCATATTCTCTTTCTAATCATAAAAGAGTATATTACATTATTGTTATGCGATAACACGTAAAAGATAATTATTTTTATTTTATTTTATAAGAAATATATTTAAATACTATACAATATGATATTATCAGTAAGTTTGATTGCTCAATCTGAATAAATAAAATGTTTGAACAGAATATGAAGGCTTTCAATAGTGTCGCTAGACTAGAGTAAACTAATAAACTAATAAATAGTTACTAATCCCAGATTTACTTTAAAATTATAAGCTTCAACTTATTCAACAATTATTAGTTCAACCACAAATGGCGTGTGTATGGTAGGGATTGATTTTTAACACTTTTTATTTTAAGTTAATAAGCAATTAAAAATTATTTGAAACATAAATACTTTTAAAATTTAGAGAGAATTTAAATACGACTTATTTTTAAATGTTTGTGCGTATTTTAAGAGTATTATTAATTAAATAATTTTGGAAACAATGAAGGTTATATTAAGGTATATTAAGAATTATTTTTGTCGTTTAAGTGAAATACAAATATTTGCTAATAAACTTCCGTAAGAAAGTAAATTATAGTGACTTATTCATTTTTGTTCGTATCACAATATATAGTATAAACAATAGCTTACATAAATTAATGAATCTATAGATTTTTATTTTATTTTTTTCTTTGATAATTATTTCAGAAGATAATAACTGTTGAGAGTATTGGAAAAGTTTATTCTTTTTAAAAGAGAAAGTTTTAGTAAACAAAAAAATATTAAAAAAAATATCTTCCAATTAAATAAAAATTAGCAATTTTATAAGCTTAAATATATAGTTAAATATAATCAGTTTTGAAAAAGAATAGTTATTCGTTTTACATACAATTCTACACACAGTATTTTCATTAAATAATAATGTATTCTTTCAAGAATAAAAAACATATATAATTGACTTAAGCAAACGGAAAGAATTGTTAGTTAATATAGGTAGCGTTTCAAATTTAAATTCTTATAATAGGAATACATTAAAAGTAACAGCAAATATGATAATAAGTTAAAAAAAGTGTTTAAAATGAATACTTAAATATTAAGCTACTCGTATATCTAATTATGAAAAAATATTATGTATAAAGTTGTTAAACTAAAAAAAATAAAGTTTTCAAAGAGTTAACTTTATTTATTTAAAATTTTGAACGAAGCAAATAATGTGTTAGATTTAAAATTATGTGTACTTTAATCATGTGATTGTATCTTTACACGGGTTTTTTGTTAAATTTAAAATTAAATACACATAGTCATTGTATAATATTTTGGAAATATTTTCTGTACATTTTTTGTTTTCAATTTTAACTTTGGAAGAACTATCTGTAAACATCATAAGTAATTACATAACTTGGAAAATATTAATAGCAAATTAGATTTTGGTTACCAGGCGTATATATACCTATAGGTACATTTTGTAATAAAAAACAATTTGGGTAGGTACATTGATATTGCCCGATCATAGTAATTTTCAATATAGTTGGAGTGGATTTTAAAATTTTAATCACAAGAACATACCACCAAATTGTTACTTTATATCTTCTATTCGATTCGCATTAATGTTTAGTTTTAAGATAAAAGTTCAACGGTATGGGTATAATTTATTAGTATTCTTCTCGTCGGACTTAACATAAAATCAATAATCCGTAATTATATCATGTATTACACTAAACTCTGTTCAGAATCGTTTTTTGATTGCAATGATTTATTATTGTTTTAATTTAAGTTCCTCGTTCCGACGTCGTTCACGTCGGTCTGATGCGTCGGAAATTTTCGTACGGTTTTAACGGCGGGGACGTGGAAATTTTTTAGTTGCTTGGTAATACCAGCGCAATAGAATAATTGCTGTAATCGAGAGGGAAAAAAGCAACAATTAGCTAATAAAGAAGTAGTGTTCAGTGAAAAAGAAAATTAAGCAAACACCGTACATAGTACTATTGTGCCTAGTCAATAATATTTGGTACGAGATTTATCGCAATGGGTTGAAATGATATTTTAAGTCATTCATAACTATCGGACAATACACACCGAAGTTCTCGACTGTTGTATTATTCCGAAAAATAACCTTTCAAATGTTCTTATGCAAAACGGTTTCGAACAACAGCTAAATTGTGTAAAAAATATTTAAACTAGGAGTAATAAACAGAAATTGAACACAACGAACTGAAATTGATGGATTTACAATAAGTGTTTTCGTGTCTTTGGATAATAATAAAAAAATATAAATAAAAACATCTAATTAGCTACGTGAACCGAACACTATACTTCGATTTGGATTCGAAGTGGAAATCATTCCATCGGACTTCCATGCGTGTGTTAGGGGAGAAAGTACTCACCGCGTTTACGTATGCTAAAATCATGTCAGCCAAATGCTCGTCATCGTGGCGAAAGTATTCGGAAAACTTTCTGTACGCCGGTTCGTCGAAATACAGTGCTGTCTCCAACACCGGTACCGTGGTATCGTCGTCACTTTGCGCCCGCGTGTCCTCGGTTACCTGCAGTGCGGGCGGAGTATTTAATTAAATCCGTAAGTGAAACAGGGTATCAGTGAGTGAAGGGTGGTGGGGTTGGGGACAAGAAGATCGGGCGGGTAACGAAGATGAAAAAAAAAAAATGTAAAGAAATGGAAGAAAAATAATAAAATAAAACCATATCAATTTTTACTCACAAAAATGTCTGGTGACGTGAAAGCATAGTTTTCGCCAGGTTGTCGCAATACGTCTACGAATGGAAAATAAAAATAAAACATAAACCGTCAAGAGGAATTATATTAAAGCCCTGAATGCGTCGGGAGAAGAACGAATTTCAGAACTTTGAGCTTCCAGCTACAGCCCGTTACACCCTCCCTCCATTGCCTCCCAACCTACATCCCAAGCCCTCCGGCCCGTTTTGAGAACACGTTGTTTTTTGTAGTTTCATCACGCCCTGTGTATAGTTATAATGGTGTCTATTAATGTTCGTTGCGCTATCCCTGTACTATATAAGTTTATCGTGACTTGGATTTGCACGTGCGTAAACTAAAACCATCCTTTCAAAATGGTGAAACCTACGAGTGTTTCGTTGAGACGTTTTTTTTCTGTTTTATTTCATTCCGTTACGTATCGCACAACAATCAGAGTTTATAAACGAACGTAAGCTTAAAAATGCTTATATATAAGTATAATACATGAACGACTCACAAGCAGTGTCACGCGTACAAGACAGTACTGTAATACTATCAAGTGTACATGCAGTTATCATATTATGTTGGTGACTTGAATCGAATCGAAATCGTTACACGAACGGTGAACACATGTTAAATACTATTGGTGTGGAAGTGCAACATAACAATACGCGGCTGTAGTACAGGTTTAATTTTCGATCGCATTTGAAGTATGTAATGTTTTGAGTTCTTATACAAAACGTTAAGAATCGCAATACAAACGGACCGGAAATACTCGGAGTGTTGTTTTTAACGTTTAATTAATATATGCGCTGGAGTGGTTCAAGAGAAACACTATTTAATAATTCGCGAAGAAAACATTAAAACATCTCATATTTGAGATGAAGTCAACTAGATTTTGTACATCTTAAATATGTTCACGAAACCGTGATCAAAAGTAATTTTCGGGCTGAATTTTTCGGTTGAAAGAAAAAAATTGTTCCAGTTCTAATACGATTTAATCTGTAACTATTATTCATTGTTGTAAAAATATCGCAATCAAATATTAGAAAAAGAAAATCTTAAAACGTTGTGATCTGTAATTACGAACAAGTTTCTTGGGTTATGTTTCTTTTTCATAAAATTAAAAACACTCGAAAATTGAAATGCAAATTAATTCCCCTCTGCTCGAAAATGTATTCGAAATTTGGTAAGTCATTTATTTTAATTTAATTTCTTCTCTCGACCCCATCTATGTAAATATTCATGTAACTTATATTATATATGTATATGCAAACAGGATGATAATTTTGAAGTTAGTTAAGTTATATTTTTTAATCATTTTCAAAAAAAAAAAAAAAAAAAACTCATTCACCAGATTAATACAAACAACGTATTAGACGATAAAAATGAAATTATAAAATTAAGATAAATTATTAGATTTTAATCAAAAACCTAATATTAAATCCTATGTCTACTGAAAAACAAACATTTATAATTAAATTATTAAAGTTATTTAGGTGGTTGAAAACTATCATATAGCAACAGACGTTGTTTAAATTTTATATGTTTAAGAAATTCTCAAAAAATATATAATGAACATCGAATTTTTAAATGTTGAGTTTATGAATAAGTTATAAGTATTTAAAATTAAGTCTGAAGTATTAAAAAAAAAAAAAAAATTTACACGATACACGATGTATATAAACCTTAAATCGTTATTCCAATACAAGATAATATGATGAGCCGGTATTCACGAGAAAAAGTTTATACTTTGAAATAGTTTTATTATTTGAAAATCGAAGATTCTTATTACGCACTCAGAGGTCTTTGATCGTTGGCTTGCGCAATAGCGTGTATATTTGTGAAACAAACGAAATATAATAATTAATATTTTGGTAGACGGTATTGCACGAAAACAGTATTGTTTCTATTATCAATGGACAGCACTAGAATGATTGTTCCGTGGTTTCGTTCATCAACTTTTGAGTGGCCTTTTTATATAACTAGAGACTTATAGTTATTTTTGATGTTGGATAAAACAAGACCATGTGGAACAAAATGAAATAAATGAACTATAGGTGTAAAACGGTGTGCGTTTGGTACAACATGAATATTTATAAAATAAATAAACCATCCGAAAAAAAAAAGCTCCAAAACTGTGTTTTGAACTTTGTGATACATCGTTTCGGCCCACGAGCGGCGTTGATAAAAATATGATCGGCATCCTGCGTGCATTACAAAACATTAAAATATTTATATATATAAATATATGTAATAATGAAATGAAAACACAATACAATATTTATAACACGCGATTGTATTGTACACAGACAGGTGTAGTGTATATAGGTGATAATAACTGTACCGAATCCGTCGGTCCACGTGTGATTTATCGTCAGGGCTCGTTTCAAAACGAATGCATTCTCGCTGTTATTATCGCACCGATATCGACACAATCCGGGATTTATGGATTGTAGCTCGTACGTGACGTCCGATAAAAAAACGATGCCGCTCTGTAACACAACGCGTCAACCGGGTCATTAATAATTATAACAACACAGTAATTGACTTTTAGACTGCGCACGCTGATGAACAACTGAATACGAAATCTTAATTAGAAGAAAATCTGGTGTCTTGACGGTCCGTTATAATTCCATTTTACGGAAATTTTAACAATTGTTTTCGTTAGACGGACAACCCCACGTACGGTATGATAGGGTGAGTTCCAGAACGTAAAGTGCATCGGGGTCGACACCTCGCGGTACTATGCACTTGGGGGCGACCGAACCACGTCGGTCCGAACAAATTTTAGGGTTTTGTCGAATGCCCTTTGAATGCAGTGTTATACATTGTCTTGGGAACTCGAATCCATATGTACATTCCCGCCAGACTGTAGTTGTTGCGGCTCGGGATGATAAATAATACTGTGTTGTGCGCGACTGCCGTGCAGTTTCGAAATCTACTAGTCGTACAATGACCGTGCGCAAAAACAAAAAAAAAAATATAAAAGAAAAATAAAAAAAATATCAATTACTTTTGAGCTCCCCAGACAGTAGGTGAACGCAGCGGTGACGTCGCCTCCGCGGTCTTCGTTACGTGTCCGGTGCATGTAATGACACCGTCTCGGCGATTTCCGTTTGACCGTTGCTGATGACTGCGAGTCGTCTCGTACTTGCCACACAAAGTCGTCGCTGATCAAACGGTCGTTCGGTTCCAAAAACAGACGTACCAGTCTGCACAACGGGATCACAATGCGTTAAACGTCGAGCAGAACGTAACGTGTATCCGTGGTATATTATACAATGCATTGGTGAATGCGTTTGGGACTGAGGGATGGGCACGATTAGAGTTATAAGTTGTACAGCTTTAACGGACTGCGCGTGTTCTTTGAAAATATTGTTCGCGTTGAAAAACAACATAATGATCATACACGTGATACGAATAAATTATTGATCGGTACAAAGTCATCTTATGACCAAATTAATGTATCAAGAGTCGATGTTCAGTGAATTAAAAAAAAAAAAAATAAATAAATAAATAAATAAAAATAATCGCACTTGTTGCGATCAGTAAATTATTTACTACTACGCGAACATGATTTTGTTGACACATCAAGACGTTTTCGGAGGAGTTGTACAATACATTTTGAGAGGTTAAGCTTCTTCAATTCACCTCCGTTGTCGTTTCGAATATTTAAACACATTTGTTCTTTACGCATTATTTTCAATGTGAAACAGTAATTTAATAATACTATTTACTCGATTCTAAACGCATTGAAATAATAATAAAAATAAAAAAATATTTTTGAGAACGTAATTTAATATAAATGTCTGTACTCTTGAGTATAATTTGGTATCTTTTTTAATAGAATATTATTGCACTTCTAAATTTTTTAGAAATTTAAAACTTTCTAAAAAATAAAAAAATGACCAAAGAGTGAAAAAAAATGTTACAAGATTATTGTCAAATTCGAACAAAAATAGTACCTATTGCAGTATGCTACCAAATGGTAAAATTGGATACAAAAAGAGGAGAATATATTTTTCAAGACGAAAAGTCTTTACTTGAGATAAAAGAAAGTTTTATTCTATATATATATTATTAGTGTGATTAAAGTGATGTTGTATAACTTAGTATTTTGGTTGAGATAAACAGAAAGAGAGAGAGAGAGAGAGAGAGAGAAAACACGTGACTAAGATAAAAATGCTGAGATAGGCCTATATATATATATATATTATTATATTGTGACAAGAAGAATAAAACAAAAAAAACCGACCTTATCTGTAGACTAAAGTAATATAAAAGTAGCTCCATTAAGATACAAATAATGAAACTAGAGACCATTGATACGCATATGTGGTTACGAGACACTAAGCTTCCTGCATTATAAAAGTGACTAATTATGTGCAAAAACAAAAAAAAAACGAGAAAAATAAAAAAAACGAGACTTTATGAAATCATCAGTATGTAAGAGAAGAAATATTTCGTTAAAATTTTATATATTATGTCACGTATCGATTATATGCAAAATTATTACCAACAAATCGGGAAGGATTGATCAAGTTCAGTTATAAAAAAAAAAGAAATTTACTATTTTTGTTAAGAATTAGAAAATGTATTATTAAATATGATTATATTTGTTGTTATAAATTGATTCCTCGACGAAGAAAAATAATCACGCCAGATATTACAATGGTTGTCATCGAGTATCCATAACATGCATTGATGCATTGTGTTCTAATACTTAACAGTACAATACATAGCAAGTAAAATATACCCGTTTCCCTAACAACGATTTAGTTGTCATAGTAAGCTCTTAGGTAATAGTCAAAATCGTAGTATCGACTGGTCTTCATTTATTGTAGTACTTGCATAAAATTAACAATTATTCTGATTACGGTTTTACTGTGTATTTACCATGGCAATCATACCGTTGTAAAGGAAACGGTGCATTTTACCCGTTTGTTACATTTCATTCGACGAGTGTCATTTATGGACAGCAATTTAATGTAACCACCGGCGACAAGACTTATAAATGTATGTCAATAATGATAAAAATTAGTATAACTGGCCGCTTTCTGTACAACGAAAAAAGAAAAAAAACCGAAAGTGTATTATGTACTATTTCAGTGTTTCACAGGCGATTGTCGAAAAATATAATTAATTTGTAATCCCTTTGAAATTATCAACACATTAAATTAGTAATCTTGCTCAAATTTGATGTCTTGAATTATCCAATTTCTCGAATCCCCTGTTCCTCTTGAAATTAGAGTTTCGACATGGCAATAATCTCCCTTACTGTGATTTTATCGGAACCCGGGGACTTTAGTCAGTATTCTTAACTTCCATTGTGAATGAGTACAGAACCATATTCGATTCACTAACGCGAAATTATATATTTTTTATTCTTCTTATGGTTGGTAAAGTTTTGAATTGAAATTCATTATGATGACCAGCCTTCCTAACCCGGTTCTTTAATCGTTTACAAAATAATCGACTATCGATGAAATCGCATATTATCATTAAATCGGCTTCTTATCGTTCACCGATTGTGATATTACGAGTATTTTCCATCAATATGATATTGATTTTACTGTACACCAAAATGTTTTTTTATTTATTTAATTTTAAATATTTTAGTAAATTAATTATTACAAGTTTATAACATATAATATAATAATTTAGAGAATGCCATTTACGTAAATGATGTTACTTTATTTACAAATCAATTAAATATTTTAGTTTTATCTTTTTTTTTTTTTTGGTATATTTATGGGTTCTGCTAGTTTTAAAAATATTTTAAAACGATCCGTGAGTATCAGGGGCATATATATGGGATGGGCGAGGGGGCCCGGGCCCCCTCCGAAATAAAAAACACCATTGTTAAAGATTGTTATTTCTAACATGGATAAGTCTTAATGCTGGGGTTTTCCGAAAATTTGTCGCGACACTGAGAATATTGCTTATGCGACAATTTAAAATTTTATATTTATATAATATATTTATTCTTTTAAGAAAATATGTGGTGAATTTTGAATGACTCTAATAAAAAAATTGTTTATTACAATGTGGTTTTTATACTTTTAAAAAATAAAGAATCATTGAAAAAATTGAGTTTCTTATTTCTCTAATGGTGTAAAGATAGTCGAGAAGTCTTATAGTGTTAGAGTAATTTTTTTCGTAATAGTGTGCTTCCTCCTTCCCTTCCACCCAAAAATCAAATACATAATCGGTGCCCTCCAAAATGAAAACCTATATACGCCACTGGTGAGTATATTATTTTGATAAAAGTTTGCTACGTCCCACCGTTAGAAGTTACGCGCTTAATATCAATCAAAAATCTATGGATCTATTGTACGCACGGAAATGTACGCTTGCCTCCCAGGCAAATCGTACAATACGAGCGCGGTATATACTCGGGGGTATGTTGCAAGCACCTACACCAAACGCATGCAGTTGTTCATATAATATTATAATATATGTATAGCGATGGCGTGCAATACTGATAATAATAATAATATTGCTAGAAGGGCGCGATATTGATGTTTTTTAATCTCGCGGATACCGGCCGGAGCCCATATTCGGAAGTAAAAAATGTATCTATTTATGACTGGTAATAAAACCACCAAAACCTCCTTGTGCCCCTTCTCGTACCAGCAGATTATATAAAAAAAAAAAAAAAATTAAAAAAACCACCACGATGAATAAAATATAAACGGTTTCTTTTCCTGTCCCATTCCTGTACTGCCGACGTCAAAATAGCACGATTTCATACTGATATATCAGTAAAACGGGCAAAACTACTTTTGCTACTGCTGCCTAACACTCTGGTTCCGAATAAATAATTTCCTGTCTCGTACGTGCGCCAAAGTCCACTAAACGAATGTCGGGAAAACAAATAAAAACATAGTTTTGCGTAACATAAAAATGTCGTAGTTCAGTCACACACTAATTTTTTACTATGTACGGTCAATGTGTTCAGACTCGGCGGCGCGCCGGAACGTCTCGTACGAGGGTTTCCGGCGATGGTAAAGGATCACGAGCAGGACTACGCGCACGCCGCACGAGGAGAGAAATAAACCGATGTCCTAGGAGACGATGGTGGTGACGGGGAAGTGTTTGCGTTTGTGTTTTTTCTCCTTTCCCGCGTCGTCCTTCGTTCAGCATCTTTATTTATTTATTTATTTTTTTCAAAAAGAGAACCCGTCGGAACGAAATGCCGCAGTGACGGGTCCAAATGGGTGTACACATGTACACGGCGTCGTGCTCAATCATTAGTTCCGGTGCCTTGAATCCGCCTTGGACGTTTTCCCACCATCTTCCCATCCATTATGGTATCCGGCCCGAGCAAATGCAAAACAAGCACAAGCATATACACGCGCGTACATGATTAGGGCGCAATCCCTCTCCCGCAACGTGTTATATGATTACTAAAACTATTATTATTATTATTTTTATTATTATTGTGTGTGTGTGTGTGTGTGTGTGTGTACGATGAAACTTATCTCTTGTATTTCTTCTGAACGCGGTTGGCCGAAAATCGCTCTGTTCTCTCGTTAGACTCTGTATACAAATGACTTCAAAGTTTTCGTCGTTAAGGCAATAGGAGAGATACATCCCATTTACCAAAAATTTTAGCTTAAAAATAGCCAGTGGAGGCCCACGTTCACAATAAATCAAAGATCCTGACCGAAGCGAGGAACATATTGGATTTACAACGATGTGTTTTTTTAATTATGTGTCATTATCTTAAGCCAAATATAACTAATAATAAAAATGGTCTACTCCACACAAGAAGTTATATATACTCACCACTGACATTAATTTACTAGTATTTTAATTAACATATTAATTATCAATGTCGCGTTCTGACAATATTTATTTTTTTTTTTTTCAAATCACAATAAATATTTACTACAATTATTCGAGATCAACAAATAATAATTTTTTAGATGGGTATTTTTACAGAGGGTTAACTTATATTTTGGGAAATTACGGTTTTGTGTTATTATCAAACGGCTTAGGTGTGCGTAAAGACAAACATAAGTCCCGTTCGATCTAAAAAAGTCCGTTGGGTAACGTAAAATTTGGCTGCCCTAGATTTAAAAATTATTTTAAAACGGAATTTACGGTTTAACACACATTATTTATTATTTATAACCCACTCGCATGGGCATATGATATATTAAGCATGTAAATGTCTAACCTGCCGAACGCGAAAAACTTGCATTCCGGTTGATCCGCGGGATCCGACAAAGTGACCACATCGTATTCGGGTACGTCGGCCGGATCAGATACGCCGAAATAATAGTTCAACTCGTCCGCCGTCATCGCATCGTGTAAATCCTGCAATCAAAAACAACGTTTTCCTTTAACATTGTAAAATTTCACATGTAAATTTTGACAAGAGTACATTTTGGCGTGCGTTTTCGGCTGATATAAAATAAATCGTCATTTTCGGAAAGTGACGTAAACTGTTTTAACGCTTGCATGTACAGTGTACATTGTACACATACATATGTATTTTCATGCCAACGTTGGTTTTATGATACACTTGTTGGGTGAAATGATAAAATAAATTATTACAGCATTACGGAAGTGTTGGAATTTATTCGTCGACGTTTAAAAATTAATATTAATTATTAAATACCATCGAAGTATCAATTATCTGTTTGTTGAAAGCAAAAATAAATTATTACAAAAATACCTTTGAATAGATCCAAACGGAATTTTGATTAACTATCGTAAATCGACTGCGCATGTTACATTTTAATTAATGGTGAAACGATTTCAGGTATTTCGGTAGTATTCGAAACACAACTCTTCTGTTGTATTACGGAAAAATATCACGTTTAATCTAATATCACATGGTTAAATTGTATTTTCCTGCGATTGGAAGCGTACAAAAACTTAGCGTACGGTTTCTAGAAAATTACTACTTAAAACCGATAGGTTCGTTCCATGCGCATATGTGTATGTGTGCATCGAACATGTGTGTGTATTGAACGTAAAAAAATTACTCGGAACTGATGGAGTTTGAATAAAAAATTTCCATGTCTAAACAACCTTTTAAGTGTAATTCATTTAGCTCGGCTAGTTTATGTATCGTATTAATTTTATATTGACTACTTGGAAAGTTTACACGAGAAATCTCTTCTGAAATATATAAATAAAAGTTATGCAAACCGACGTATAAACTATTTCTCTCTAGGATTTCTAATTATTTCTAAGATTCCTGATTTAAATCAACAGGTCCGCTTGTTATTTTACAATATTAATTCATTTTCCAACCACTATGCAAGTACTCCTATGTATTTACATTCAACAAGGGCAAATATTGTGTGTATAAGAACTTAAATTTAGCGTAATGTTTCTCAGTGCTGAGGTAAATATTTAAATAAATAATTAATATTTTACATTATGAGTAAAACGAGAAATGTACTGGTTTTACCATGAAGTGTTTTTTTATTTTTTGTTTGTTTATAAGATTTCGACAAGGAGTGCTTCAATGGTTACCAATAAAAAGTAAAAAGTGAAATATAGAAGAAAATAGTTTTATGTTGGTACTTTCAGGCATCATTTTTTTGAATTTCTCAATATTTTTCCGAATGATTGAGAAAAACGAAAATATATTTTTTAAAATCAATACCGCCGATCGTCTAGTATATCGAAGTACTGACTGTGAAAACGAATCGTGATAGGCTTAATTTATCGGTTTCGAACGGAAAATGGAATTGATTCGGAGACCTATTGAAAGTTAATATTTAATAGTGAACATGAGATAGTTGTTCAGTGGAAAACTTTAGTTTTATATTTTTCAAACTGTAAAAAATATACCTGATCATATCTTGATGCACGTTGAACAATCCAATGTGCATGTAGTGCTTAGAACATTAAATTCCTTCTTGTGTCTATGATATAATTTTATATTATATCTATAGAAATATTGATATAGTGATCGGAGAAAATGTTACGCAATAACAATAATGGTTCTTTTGAAACTTTTTCAGACGTTTATATTATCGTGCGTAATATAATATACGGTCGGATGGAGTTATTTTTCCCCCTTCTCTTCTAAAACCACTCGGTATTAAAAAAAGATTTTTTTCCGCCGAAGATTCCAAAACATTTTATACGTTTTCAAATCAAACTGGAAATAAATTGCGAAGGCCCATTTACTCCACGTAGGCTGTAATGCGTTTTATTCGTTCAGACATGTTTTTGAGGTTTTTTTTTTCTAGGTCTTTTGGCAAGATTTTAAACAAACACATGATGATTAAAAAATAAAAATTAAACTAAAAAATAAAAATAAAGAATATAGTAAAAATAGGAAACGAAATTAAAATGAGAAAAAAGGTATATAACAATATGATATATATATATATTCAACCATTTATACGCGGCTCGGGTTTAGCTGGTCTGATTTATGGGTACTATCACACGACGTACGTACAGGAATCCGTAGACATCCTTCAACTGTTTTGCAGGTTTTGATGGCGAACACGTAGGAAACTAAATTTTAGCTGACAGGCAGATGGACGGAAAGCAGCAGAAACATATGCCGGGATACGATTAAGTGTCCAATCAGTCAGGTAATATGTAGCGAAACACACTGATTTCGAACGCCAAATTTAAACGAGCACAACGCACGTTTTGTTTTTCGCACTGGTATTGTTCAAGGGTATGTTGGTAATAGGGTCGTATAGCACCTACCCTTCTCATTTCATGACCTTTCGTTATTTTTCATCGCACAGTAAATGTTCCGAACTGTTTGACGTAGGCGCTACAGAGATAGTGGTTGCATCTAGAGTAGTTTCACCCGAAAAATTTCATGGCGCTCCCCCAGAAAGAATTTGCACTCCAAGACAAACGATAAGCGGGAGGCAGCGCTCAAAGGAGCTTAGGTTATGTACAGGAAGTTTGACAAATATGAATCTTTTTTAAAGTTAAAAGTTAATTATTTATTCCTTTAGAAGTGATCTAAATGAAATTATCAATTAAACGAAACAATGAAATACATTTTAACGATGTCTCCATTTTGTGTAAAAAATAATTTTGTATTTTAGATCTGTAAATTATACGCAAGTATAAATCTAAAGTGTTGTACCTAATTCTATAGAGTAATTTAGTATCCAATATTGAATTAGATTTAAAATCAATGATAGAAATAATTACCATGGTTATGATTGAAGTTGAATTTGATTCATAAAAAAAAAAAAAAATTATATATATGAACTCCTTTACACATAATTTACACAATTATTATATAACTTTTGAAACCGTAACATTATTATGATTATTTTTTATAATCACAAACAATGTTAAAACGATTCTTATAAAGTATAACCCGATACTTTTGCTGCACTAAATCTATACAAAGTTGTCAATTTTTTCAAAAGACATAAATATATGTGTGCAAACGTTTCAAAGTTTTTAATGGTCATGGAAATGGCTGAACTTTTTGAAAATTGAACGACTTTCAAGACTATAGTTAAATATTATACCTTCGGTTCCGGTTTAAAAACGATTATTAAAACTTAATGTTTAATATTTTGCGATAAAAAAAATAAAAATAAAAATGTACAAACACAACTAATTGACTTTTTTAATCATAACGCGTTTCTGCAAATGAATTTCCTTTCAAAAAATGAAGCTTCGTTATGCGAACATTGTTGTAGCGAAAATCGGTTTGTCAGATTGTACTGACGATTTTTGGCGTTTCGTTTCGACAGTGCCGTGATAATCGTTTTTAGCAGGTACGCATTACAGCAGAGCATCATACAAATGCGATTAGAAGACGATTCATTGTCTCAATATTACCATCTAGTTGTTGATTTCGCCGCATCTGTTGGCCAATCGATTTGCCACAACCACGATAAATCTGCGTTACCAATAACCGTCAAGAGAAAATATTTATCTCGAAAATGACCAATTGGAAATCATAAGCACCATATGTAACTCGCTTTGGTTTGAAATAACTTAAAACCCGTAATACGTCATTCAATTAATCGCTACTGAATATATGTAGTTGCGAATCTCTCTGCATCACTCTAACCACTCTACACCACGTATAGCTTACAGAAACTGCAAGGTGAAACGAAAATAAAATACGTATATATATGTATGAAATCAATATTATTTACAAAACAGTTGAATAAGCAACCGTACATTGAAAGATTTGTATTACGCCGTTGCGGCGAAAACATTATGTATTATTAAATTCGAGGGGAAAACTCGAACGAGAAGACTTAGTGGAGGAAGAAAAATGTTTAGTTTTCGCGTGTTTTGAAATTGCTTTTATCGTTAGGAAACGCGTGTGCTTCGAATGCGATTCTAATACGCTTGGGTTTTTTTTTCTATTCACGGTTGAACTTTAATTAAATACGACAAATATTAATGCGTTTGTATAATGTGTGTGTGTGTGTGTGTGTATAAAAAGTAGAACATAAATAAAACGTGCATAGCACAAGAAGAACTATTTTTTGTTTATTTAAGCTTGTTATTTTTTCACAGCATAGGGACACAAATATTAATGTAATAACAACCTATAACTGGATTAATTATATCAAGTACGAACTCAAAAGTTACAGAACTTGTGTTTAGAGTGCAACGTCACATTTGTAAATAAAACGTTCTGTTTTATTCGGTTAGCTATAATGACATAACGTTATACGAAAGATGATTTACAAACGTCACTGTATGCTTTTGTTAATATCATTTGCTCTAATGTCCATTGAACATTTGAAATGTTAAACACAAAATAATAATTGTCTATGTACATTATTGTCTAAAAAAAAAAAATTAGATTATGTTTCAAAATAGTTGCATACACTAAGGATGCATGTCATTCGGGAACTATCGCATTATCTGGTTTAACGAAATTTTAAATCGTTTACATTTTTTATAATATTGAACACTTCAAATATTAAATATTGATAAATTTTTTAATATTATTCAGAATTGAATCGATTTTCTTTTCTGTTTTTTATTCGACGTTCACGATAAAGTTATCGTTTAATTAATATTATAAATGCTGATAATTGTATCATGTAAATCCTGCATGAAATATGCGTTATTTTATAGCGATTCATTGTTTATGCTTTATTTGGAGACAAATAAATAAATACATTTATTTTTTTTTATGTTACATAGAATTTTTACGTAGTTTTTCACGTATATATATATATAAATGCATTTGAATAAAATACATAGCTAGAATTAACGGGTTTAAAACGTAGAAGAAAAAATACAATACAACACGCAACAAGTATTAATATAATAGCTTACTTACGAAAACTGACGTTGATAATTTATTATCATTCTTTGAATAATGTTAGTAATGTGTT